GTAGTGTAGCTGTTTTTCCCTCTCATCTGTGCCATATATTTTCTTCAACTCTACTTGATTTGGTCCTAGTTAGCGAACTTACCGATTTGCCTAGGTGTGTTACTTAGTTTTTTTTTTTAATGTAGGTAGGCTTTATAGTAATGGTTTGATACCAGTTCTACAGTACTAGTCTCCCGTCTTTTATTGTAAAATAGAGCATATATATGAAAGCATAGAAAATACATGCGGAACATACGTACAGTTTACAAAATAAACGAAAGGAAAGCCCTGTGGCCCTTGGCTGGAGGTTAAGGAATGGAAGCGTCCTCTAGAGGGCCCCCGTGTGCCCCTCCCTGGTGTGTCTTCCTTGATGTTCATCCAGGTAAACTGCTGTCCTAAATTTTCTGCTGTGTTCCTGTCTTTTTTGTGATGTGCCACTTAAATAGTATGTCTACGGTTGTGCTCCATGGTGAGCATGAGAAAATGAATCCTGCTGTTGGTGTTCTGTGGCTTACTGCCTTTCACTTAGCATCATGTTTTGAGATGTATCTGTGTTGGCAGGCACACGTACCTGTTCATTTTCTCAGCTAAGTAGTCATTAAATGACTATATGGTAGTTTATTTCGTCTGTGATTACTGAATTTTTGGGTTATTCCAGTTTGATGCTATTAGAATCTAGTACCAACAGTATTGTACATGAATCCTTGTGCTCAAATGCCTGTATTTCTGAGAATAATCTGAGCCTTCCTTTGGAGAGATTGCTTTGCTTCTGCTGGAGTCTTGGGCCTATAGTTTCTCAGTAATGTTTTTTGTTTCTTTTTTGCTTTTCCCCCTTGTAAGGTAAGACTACTCACCTTGCAGTCCTTTTGGCATGAGATTACTTCTGGGTGGCCCTTCTCCTGAAAAGTATCATCTTCTGAGTTTGAGATCCAGCTTAAACTGGAAAAGATTTTTTTTTCAGACAGGGTCTCATTCTGTTGCCCAGACTGGAGTGCAGTGGCACGATCTTGGTTCACTGCAAACTCTGCCTCCCAGGCCTCCCCACTCTTTGCATATAGATATCTAGTTGTCCCAGTACCATTTTCTGAAAAGACTACTCTTCCTCCACTGAATTGTCTTGGCCCCCTTAAACTTGCCTTTGCCCTTAGGATATTAGGCCATCTGGGAAAACCTGAATTTTGGTTGAGGACTTTAGAAGGCAAAGTGGAAAGAAATCTTCTCCAATTCATGCCTATAATCCCAGCAATTTGGGAGGCCGAGGCAGGCAGATCATTTGAGGTCAGAAGTTTGCGACCAGCCTGGCCAACATGGCAAAACCCCGTCTCTAGTAAAAATACACAAATTAGCCAAGCGGTAGTGACGGGCGCCTGTAATCCCACCACTCAGGAGGCTGAGGCAGGAAAATTCCTCGATCCAGGAGGCGGAGGCTGTAGTGAGCTGAGTTCCTGCCACTGCACTCCAGCCTGGGCAACAGAGTGAGACTCCATCTAAAAAAAAAAAAAAAAAAAGGAAATGGATTAAATACCTAAATATAAAAGCTTAAAAACAATAAGACCTAATAGGACCCCTGGGGTGAAAAATAACCCAGAAGCACTTGGTGAAGCCTGAGGGAGTCACCGGGAAGGTTTTGTGTTTGAAGTTTGGGCTTTGATTTCAGGTTGGTGATGAGCACCTCAGGAAGCAGCACCGGGTGCTGGCAGACCTTCATTATACCAAGGCCACAAAGCTGTTCCAGCTTCTGAAAGACGCTCCCTGTGAGCTGCTCAGGGTACAGCTGGAGAGAGTAGCATTCGCAGAATTTCAGATGACCAGTAAGTCTCACTTTTCATTTCTTGAATATGCATGCATTGGCTTAGCGTTCGACGGTCTTAGAGTGAGGCAGGTCTGCGAAGCTAAGTAATACTGCTTTCATTTTAATTTGCCCCATAGTAAATTTTGCGTAGAGAGCAGGAGGAATCTCTACAGTTTTTGAAGTGCTTTTTAAAACTAGAGAATAGATTAGATTATATTCAGTCACTAGAAATATTGAAATATGGCCCATAATCCCTTACTTGGAAAAAAATTTGACAAATCAATATAAACAGTTACAGATGTAAACTGGCCAAGCACGGTGGCTCACGCCTGTGATCCCAGCACTTTGGGAGGCTGAGGCAGGCAGATCACCTTAGGTCAGGAGTTGAGACCAGCCTGGCCAACATAGTGAAATCCCATCTCTACTAAAAATACAAAAATTGGCCAGGTGTGGTGGTGCAGGCCTATAGTTCCAGCTACTGAGGAGGCTGAGGCGGGAGAATCGCTTGAACCCAGGAGGTGGAGGTTGCAGTGAGCCAAGATCATGCCACTGCACTCCGGCCTGGGCAATAGCTCGAGACTCTGTCTCAAAACAAAACAGAAAAACACAAAGATTGAAATCAGGATAAAAAATTTGAGAGTGGAATTGAGAGGCAACAGTAAAGGAGTAGTGGGCCTTATTGAACCCTTTAAACACAGAACTGACACTCGGATTGTGGTTCCGGTAGAGCCTGACCAAGGTGAAGGTAAGTCGGAGATAGAGAAGGGTGAACCTGAGAATGCTTTCTTAGGTTATTTTCCATGGCAGGGAGTAGGCAGATACTTCAGCCACTTAGTGATTTTTCCTGAGTTCTCCCTGTCTCTCTTGCTGACCTGTTCTCTTCTCCTGCAGAGGAGTGTTTTGAGAAGTATTTCTTGTGTGGTAAAGAAACAAGAAACAGTTATTTGAAGAGCAGTAGTTCATTTAGTTTTCTGTCTTCTGTAAGACAAGGATAATTTACATCTGTACGACTTAGTTTACATAGGTATGCAGTAGCCCTGGCAGGTGCCTGAGAACTGGTAACATTGTTCCCTTTGGGGAGGAAACCTGGAAGGCCAGGAGGAGGGGGTTCACTGCATACCCATTTGGACCTTGTAAATTTTGGGAATGTATTACCTATCTAAAACAGTTTCTAAAAATAGTTTTTACTAAAATTAATTTTTTGCTGGCATATAATGTGTGGCTAGATGTGTGGGACAGTCACCAGGATTAACAGTAGCTCTTTATGGGGGAAGGGTTGGGGAGAGTCATCTTCACTTTTCATCTGCACCTTTGAATATTCTGCCGTGTTTGAATTCCGTAGAATGAGCAAACATCTTTTTTTTGTTGTTGAGTTTTTGTTTGTTTGTTTGGAGACAGACTCTCACTCTGTCACCTAGTGGAGTGCAGTGGCATGGTCATGGCTCACTGCAGCCTTCACCTTCTGGGCTCTAGTGAGCCTCAGCTAATTTTTTAAACAATGTTTTGTAGAGACAGGGTCTCTCCATGTTATAAGCCTAGGCTGGTCTAGCAATCCTCCTGCGTCAGCCTCCCGAAGTGCTAGAAGATACTGAACACAGATTTGCTAAGATGATAAATGTGCTTAATTCCCTCCAGTGCTTTAGAAAATAATGTAAATATTTGGGGGGGTGTTGTTAGCCGAATTTGTGAGTTTTGTAAGCCAAGTTAATAAATGCTCTAGATTGTGACACCTTTTATTCTATCTTATTTTACCCAGTGTTTTTTTTCTAGTACATATGATTCAGATCTCCCTTCCTAATGTCTATATTGTCTGGTCCCTGCCCCAGCATCACTTCCATACATAATCAATAGCTTGCCTTCCAGATGCCAAATCTATGCTGAAATCACATTTATCCATTGATTTGAAAGACAATAGATTATTTAAAAAGTGTGGGATTATGGGTCAGTGCATCAGCTCATGCCTGTAATCCCAGCACTTTGGGAGGTCGAGGTGGGTGGATCACAAGGTCAGGAGATCAAGATCATCCCAGCCAACATGGTGAAACCCCGTCTCTACTAAAAATACAAAAATTAGCTAGGCATGGTGGTACTCACCTGTAAGTCCCAGCCACTTGGGAGGCTGAGGCAGGAGAATCGCTTGAACCCAGGAGGCGGAGGTTGCAGTGAGCTAAGATCATGCCACTACACTCCAGTCTGGGCAACAGAGTGAGACTCCACCTCAAAAAAAAAAAAAGTGTGGGATTATGCTTTAAAGGAAGAAGGCAACAGTTGTTCTCTCCCCACCTGTAGAGTTGGGGAGTCCCCAGATCACTTTCAGTTCTCACACTAATTCCAAGTTTGTTGGGGGCCTCCAAGACCATTCTTAGGTTTGAGAATTTGCTAGAAGGACTATAGAACTCACTGAAAGCTGTTCTGCTTACAGTTACAATTTCTTACATTGGAAGGATGTACATTAAAATCAGCCAAGGGAAGAGGCTCAGGAGGCAGAGTCCTAGAGAGCTCTAAGCGCGAAGCTCCTAGTTCCTCTCCTGCTGGAGTTACAGATGGTGCTAATTCTGGCTAATTTATACACTTGGAGAGTGTATGCATGCCAGTACTCACCAAGTGTATAAATCAATACATGTGCCACTGGGGAAGCTCACCCAAGCCTTGGTGTAGAGTTTTTATTGGAACTTGGTCACATCGATATGGTTGACTGCCACGTGGCTGATCTTTGTCTCCAGTGTCTCTAGAGGTCGAGCTGTTACCATTGGGCCCAAAGCCCCCACAGTGAATCCCATTGTTAAGCTATCCAGTGTGGCCCAAGGCCCCTAGGTAAACAAAGGTATTCTTACTAGGCAGGGCATTTCAAGGACTTAGAGATTACCTTCTGGGAGCCAAGGTCAAAGACCAGACCTCTGTTTGTACAAGACGAATCTTCTACTGCACACAATTGAGTTCTAGGAGAACGGGAGCAAAGGTGTGTTGTTGTATCTGATAGCTGTAGAAAAATGTTATTTAGAAGGCTCGAGAATAAAACAAAACCTTGTTCATCTAGTCTGACTTGCTGCCTTTGAACAGAAATGTAATAAAGTATTACAGGTCGGACAACTGATACTCAGTGCTTAAGTGACTTGACCAGATAACTGGTGAACTGTAGGGTGGCCGTCAAGCCCCAGACTCCTTTCGCTGGTCCCTTTTCTCAGGCTCCTGTTCTGAAAACGTGGTGTCATCCTGTCAAACTACATGGTGAGGCAGGGAAACAATTATTATTTATTGCTTTGTTCAGACTTAGTATTTTTCTCAAGGGAATAATATTAAACAGAAGTTGAATTTAGAAGATTTAAGATTCTCATTAGCTTCCTTTATAGTGGTTTGAAAGTCTGAATTTTCATTAATACATTAACATTAGATGGGTTTCTAGATTTATTTTTAAAGGAATTAACATTTTGTATTTTACACTTTAGGCCAGAATAGCAATGTTGGAAAGTTGAAAACACTGTCTGGGGCGCTTGATATAATGGTGAGAACTGAGCATGCATTCCAGCTTATCCAGAAGGAGCTTGTAGAAGAATTTGGCCAGGTAAATGGAGAAAATGACTGTATTTGATTTTTGTGTGTCTTAAGCTACATGGTAAATGTGTATGGTGGGCATATGAGATGTGTGTGTTTATGTATATGTTTTATGTGTGTGTGTATACGCACACATACATATGTATGCTATGCCCGAAAACACTTTAACAGTGATTTGTTATATTTGCCTGGTAGAATTATTTATCTCCCTTCTTTAATTTGCAAGTATTTTAAACTATTTTTAAATAATGTATCTCAACAAGACCATAGTTAGCAAATTATAAAGTCTCTTAAGCTTTTTTGTTGGTGGTGGTGGGAATTTGTTTTATGCTTTAAAAGTAAAGGCCTGTGCCTTCTTTTGTAGTTTCCACTAAAATGCCTGAGAGCAGATGAATGGTGAAGAATGGGCCTAAGCAGGCTCCTCAGGAAGGAATTTCTAGTTTTCTGGGCATTCCAGCATTCATGTTACCTTCTGCTGTTGCTAAAAGCTTCCTGAAGCCCCCATGGTGCACCCACCTCTTGCTCTCCTAGCCCTGCTTGGTCAAATCCTGTGTGATACTGTACATTTCCCTGCTGTGTCTAATGTTGGAAAGTCAGGATTAATTTCTTCTACATAAGTGCCTATTTGGACTGACATTAATTATGTGTTTTAGTCTGTCAAAATGATTGCAGGTGTGCTTTTTGTTTGTTTTGTTTGGGGTTAAAAAATGTACTGGATTAATGAAACTGCAGTTCCATCACTTGATATGGTATGAAACTCCAGTTGTTGGGTAGCTCAAGTAAAATAACTTGTTGTTTTTAGCCGAAGAGTGGTGACGCTGCTCCAGCTGCTGATGCTTCTCCCAGTCTCAGTCGAGAAGAAGTGATGAAACTCCTCAGTATATTTGAGTCTCGATTGTCGTTTCTTCTCCTTCAGTCCATTAAACTGTTATCTTCAGCTAAAAAGAAAACAAGGTAAATTAAGTGGTTATTTGTAGGAATTTCTTTCCCAGCACCCTGCCTATAAAAATATTCTCTACTAACATTGTAAAGAAAAAATAGGGGCCGGGCACATTGGCTCACGCCTATATACCCAGCTTTGAGACCAGCCTGATGAACCTGGTGAAACCCCAACTCTACTGAAAATACAGAAATTAGCCAGTGTGGTGGCATGCACCTCTTAATCCTAGCTACTGAGAAGGCTGAGGCATGAGAATTGCTTGAACCCGGTAAGTGGAGGTTGCAATGAGCTAAGATCACACCACTGCACTCTAGCCTGGGCAACAGAGCAAGATTCTGTCTCAAAAAAAAAGAAGGAAAAAGAAAAAATAGGTTGTATTCTGTCTTGTCTTCTATGTGGATAGTTCAGAATTTTAAATGGTGTTCCTTCTCGTCTTGTTAAACTAGGTAAGAACCCTCTCCACGAAGCCTTCTATGTGCTAAAATTACAGAAACAAAAGATAGTCTATTGTTAATATCTTCCCTGAGGGAGATGAATGACCCTAGAATGAAGATCTGTATTTCTAGTGACACTTCTGGATGTTGTCATTACTGGAGAGTCTGGGCTTGAGTTTCGATGCTCAGGGCCAAGTGCACTGCAGGGTAGAGGACAGAACATGGAAGCAGGAGAGAAGAGTGTGCATCTCTGCAGAAATGTCCTTATGGCCCTGTGTCATTGTGTCGCACTTAGATCGTTTTGCCAAAGTTGTTATTTTGGCATTACTGATTTAATGTGAAATTACAGCAGTAAGTACTAGATCAGGAAGGTAATATAAATGATATGCCTCCCTTTTCTTAAAAATAAGTGCAATCCGGCCATATTACAAAATTCGGAAAATAGGGAAAAGGAAATGAAAATCATTTATTCTAATACATTCATTGTTAACCAGTTATCTTATGTATATTTTACCAATTTATAATCTTAGGGTACAGATCTTTTTTTTTTTAATCATTCTGTTAATTTTTTTATGTTATATACAGTAAAATGGACTCCTTGTGGTATATACTTCTTCAGTATACACGTTGACAAATGCATACAGATGTCTGCCTGCCACCACAGTTATGACAGAAAACATCACTCCAAAATTCCTCCTGCTGTCCTCTTTGTAGTCAACCCTGCCCTGCCTCCAGTTCCTCAGGATCTCAGGGAGAAAGTTTTCAGTCTTTTACCATTAAGCCTCATCAGCGGTGGGGCTTTGTGGAGGCCTTTATCAAGTTGAAGATATTTTCTTCTATTCTGAATTTGCTAAGAGGTTTCTTTTATCATGAATGGATATTGAATTTTTGTTGAACGCTTTTACTGCATCTATTGAGATGGCCATATGGTTTCCCTTCTCTAGTCTGTTAATATAGTGATTACATTGATTCTTCAAAAGTTAAACCAACTTTGCATTCCTGGGATAAACCCCAGTTTGTTGTGATGTAGTGTTCTTTTTATGTATTACTGGATTCACTTTGCTGATACTGGATATTAGTGGATTTCATTTTGCATGTTGATGATTTTTGTGTCTATGTATAGGGGATAGTGGTCTTAGCTCACTTTTCTTATAACAGGTGTCTCTGGTTTGGGAGTTAGAACAGTGCTGGCCTTGTAAAGTTTGTGGACTCATGCTCCCTCTTCTATTTTCTGAAAAAGATTGTGTAGATTAGGACCATGTCTTCATTAAACATTTAGTAGAATTAACCTGGAGTTTCCTTTGTTGGAAGTTTTTAAACAGTGAGTTCCATTTCTTTTCATGGATAAATATTACTCAGGTTGTCTTTTTCTTAAATAAATGAGGGTCCATCATCTAAATTGTCAAACGCGTACATTCACGGTATCCCTTATTATCCTTTTAATGTCTAAGGGGGTTTGTGACGATAGCCCTTCTTTTAGTCCTGATATTGGTAATCCTTCTTCTTCGTATTTTTCTTGGTCATTCTAGCTAGAAGTTTATCGATTTTTTTTTTTTTTTTCATTCTTTTCAAAGAACCAACTTTTGGCTTGACTGTTTCTTCCCCTCATGTTTCTTTTCTAACGTCATCAATTTCTGCTCTTCACTTCCTTTGCCTCTACTTGTTTTGGACTTAATTTGCTCTTTTTCTAGTTTCCTAAGGTGGAAGCCTCGATTACTGATTTGAGACCTTTTTTTCCTTTTTAATGTAAGATTTGCTGCTAAAAGTTTTCTTCTGAAGCACTGCTTTTGCTACATCTCATATATGTTTGTATATTTTCTTTTTCATTTGTTTCAGAATAATATTTGATATCCTGAGACTTCTCCTTTGACCAGTTTATTAGAAGTGTGCTGTTTAGATTCGGAATATTGGGACTTGTTAGGTGTCTTTCTGATCGTGCTTGCCAGTTTACTTTTGTTATGTGCTGAGACCATAACTGTGTATGATCTGTTCTTGCACATTTGCATACATTTGTTTTATGGCCCAGAACACAGTTTGTCTTGGCACATGTTCCGTGTGTACTTGAAAAATCTGAGCGTCATGCTGTTTGGGGTAGAGTGTTGTGTAAATGTCAGTTAGGTTAAGTGTGTTCATAATATTGTTCAGGTCTTCTGTCTTCTCACTGGCCTTCTGTCCACTTCTATCAGTTTACCCAGTGAGGAGTGTTGAAGTCTCCAACTATACTTGTGGATTCATCTTTTTCTCCTCTCAGCACTATCAGTTTTGTTTCATGTGTTTTCGAAGCTGTTAAGTACACACACTTGGGATTGTGATATCTGGGAGAACTGACCTCCTTATTACTACAAATGTCCCTCTTTGCTAATATAGCTACTCAACTTTTGACATTAACTTTTGGTTAATGTCTTTTTCCATGTATGTCTTTTATATTAAAATTGGGTTTCCTATAGGTGGAAATAGTTGGATCTTTTTATTTTTTATTTACTTACGTTCCTGTTTCGTTTTTTTGAGACAGGGTCTCCCTCTGTCGCTCAGGCTAGAGTGCAGTGGCATGATCATAGCTCACTGCAGCCTCAACCTCCTGGGCTCAAACAGTCTCCCACCTCAGCCTCTTAGAGTAGCTAGGACCACAGATGTGCATCACCATGCCCAGCTAATTTTTAAATTTTTTTGTAAAGATGGGGTCTCGCTATGTTGCCCAGGCTGGTCTCAAACTCCTGGGTCAAGCAGTCCACCTTTCTCAGCCTCCCAAAGTGCTGGAATTATAAGTATGAGCCACTACCTGGCCCAAGGGTCTTGCTTTTTAAATACAGTTTTATAATTGGTGTCTCTAGACCATTCACATTTAATATTATTCTTTTTCTGCCTTCTCTTAATTGAATATTTTCTGTGATTCCATTTTATTTCACTATAGATTTATTATCTGCCACTTTTTAATTATTTTGGCAGTTGACCTAGGATTTTGCAGTGTGCATCGCTAATCTTCAATGAGAGGCCACCTTCAAATAGTATGATACTGCTCTACATGTACTATAAAGACCTTATCATGGTAGATTCCCAGTTCCTTCCTCCCATCTTTTGTACTGTTATTATATGTTTTACTTTTACATATGTTATAAACACATAATACACTGCTACTATTTTCTGCCTTATACAGTTACCTTTAAGAGCAATTAAAGAGAACAAGAAATTGTATTTATCTTCGTTTATTCCATTTCAGTACTTTTAACCTTTTGTATAGGTCTCTGTCTAGTGTCATATTCCTTCTGCCTGAAAAACTTCTTTTAGCATTTAGCATTGCTAGGTTTGCTAGCAATGAATTTTATCTTTACGATCGAGAGTTTTTATTCCTTTTTCAGTCTTGGAAGATCTTTTTGCAGAATTCTGGGTTAACAGTCCTTTTCTTAAAGTACTTTAAAGATGTCTCTCCACTATCTTCTGGCCTGGATGTTTTCTGACCAGAAGCCTGCTTTGTTTCCCGCTTTTGTTCATCTGTTAGAAATGTGTCTTCCTTGCCTGTAGGCGCCCCACTTCCCAGCAGTTTGACCATGATACGCCTGTGTGTCATGATGGCTTTTACCCCTGGCTTCAGCATTTTTCCTTCTTCTATTCCATTCTCTCTCCTCCTCTACAACCCCAGTTATACCTATGTTAGACTGTTTGAAGTTGTTCCACAGCTCTTAGATATTCTGTTCTGGTTTTTTGATGCCCTTTTTTCTTTTTATGGGTTTGTTTGGATCATTTCTGTTGAACTGTCTTCAAGTTCACTGATTCCTTACTTGGTTTTGTGTCATCTGCAGTTGAACTTTTTGAAGGCATTCTCTGTCTCTGTTACAATGTTCCTCATTTCTAGCATTTCTCCTGGGTTTGTTCTTAGTTTCAACTCTGCTGAAATTACCAATCTGATCTTGCATGGCATCCACCTTTTCCATTAGTGCCTTTAACATATTAATTATAGTCCTTTTAAATTCCCTGTGAGATAGTTCCAACATCTTTGTCATAATTAGCTGATTCTGTTGATTCTTTGTCTCTTGGACGTATGTTGTTTTTTTCCTTGTCTTCCATATTATCTCTGGTTTGTTGAAAACTGGATACCTTGTGTATGATAGTAGGGACCAAGGAAAATTATTTTGTTTTTGCCCAGAATTTTTTGTACTTTTCCCCTACTAGAGCTTTAGTGTGGGGAGCGGAATTCATTTTTCTAGCTTGGAGTTGATGGTTACCTTCCGTGTACCACAAGCTTCAAATTTTCCTGCAGTCCTTGTGTGTAGGGTGGAGGTCTGCAGAAGGTGATTCTTAATGTCTTCTCTACCTTCAGCTCTAGATCTTTCCTTTGTTTCACATCTTAGGGAGGGTCTGTCTTTACACTCTCATAGTTCTTCCAATCATATTCCACTATCACTTGTCCTTCAGTACTCTTTAGCCTGTTGAGGAGGGAGCAGGGAGTTAGCAAGGACTCCACAGTTGTTTAAGTAAGCCTCAGTCTAGGCAGACACTTGTGTCTCGGAGTCTCAGGACAGTGGCCTTCCCACTGCTCCTGCACCCTGCCTAACCCCCCAGAATTTTTTTTCTGTTCACTTCCCCTCTCTTCATGGACTTTAAGCCATGCCATAAGGTTGACAGGGTTCATTCTCTTCCCCCACCTCCACTGAGGCTTTTGTTTCCTAGAGAAGGGTCCAGGTGGGGTTGCCTGTCCCTCCTAAAGCAGCAGCTATTACCCTACCATAGGTCTACACGAGGAGGGTCTCTTTCTCAGGATTCTCACTGGTCTGTTATGTGAACACTTGGGAGGTCCTTGGAGAAAAGCCAGTAAGAAGATGTGAACCCCCTGACTCCACAGAGGCCCTACACCCTCTAACCAGCCTCTCTGGCCCCCCACCAACTCATTCACTATTTTAGCTAAATGCTTACTAGCTCCTGGCTGCATCTGCCTGGGTAAGGAAGGACTCTCCTTTCTCTCCCTGCATCAGCCTGTCTCTCCTTAGATTTCAGGCTAGTTGGTTGCCCCACCTCTCTCATGGATTTAAGAAAAGCTATGACCTTGTAGTTTGTCTTGCTTGAGCCAGAGACTTTCTCCAGCTTTGCATCCTGAATAGAAATTTCCTTCAGTAACTGCTTTTGGACTGGGTGCCATGGCTCACACCTGTGATGCCAGCTATTTGGGAGACTGAGACGGGAGGATTACTTGAACCCAGTAGTTCAAGGCCACAGCAAGCTATGATGGCAGCACTGCACTCCAGCCTGGGAGACAGAGCAAAACCCATCTCTTTAAAGAAAAAAAAATTGCTTTTGAATAATTCTCTATAATCTAAGGAGAGCTTTTATTTCATTGTTAACCCTCAATGTCTATACCATATCCTGGTTGTGGCACACAGCAAGGTGTGTACTGATTTAGTAGGGACATCCATCTTTCTGAAGAGCCATAAGACAGAGCAGATAGTGCATATAGTAACAGAGCTGGAAAAGAATTTCTGCTTTTTCCTAACAGCCCTGGGTAAATTTTTAAAATCTGTATTGGTTTCCACAAGGTGGCAATATAAATACATGATATGTGAGAAAATGTGATTCATTGATTTTTCACAAGTCAATCATTTGAGAAATTGGGAGTACGTAATAGTTTCGGTTTTATCTTTTACAACCATAACAGTCATATGTGTGACCTAAGTACCCTTTATTTTAATGGAAGGTTTTCTAAGATTTTGTTTAGATTATTAATATTTTGCTGAAAACTATTTTAATCTAAAGTTTTCATGCATGATGCATAAAGTCTTATGTAGCTAATTTATATTGATTTTTTAAGGTTTATTAAACTGTGAAATGTGATACTGTGTTAATACAATAAATACTTTGACAAGTTTCAAAACAAAAATATTAGTTACTAAGTTGATGATATTTCATTTTTCACTAATGTGAAAATGAAAACATCTGTAATTTTGTTTTTAAGAGGAAAATATCCTCCGCCACAGGCTTAGTTATTTCACAGTGAATACATGAACGTTCTCTTTGCAATATAAAGGGAAATCAGAGTGAGACCTTAAAGAAAATGCAGTCGGTCCTCTGTATCCAAGGCTTCTGAATCCAGATTCAACCAACCACAGATTGAAAATATTAAATAAAGAATAATATAAATTTAAAAAGCAATATAGTATAACAACTATTTATAAGCCATTTACATTGTATTAGGTATTATAAGTAATCTAGAGGTGGTTTAAAGTATGTAGGAAGATGTACACAGCTTAATGCAAATACTACACCATTTTCTCTCAGGGACTTCAGCCTCCTCAGATTGTAGTTTTCTGGAGCGTCCTGGAACCAGTCCCCCCAGATACTGAGAGGCTGTGTTAAATACATTTTTATTTTTTGACTACTGTTTTTTCCACTTCATGCCCTCTGGCAAAAAAAAAAAAAAACAAGGCTTAATAATTAAAGTCTTAAGTTTCTAAGACTCCTGTAGAATTACAGGGAAAGCTGCATTTTACTTGCTTAAAAAAAATTCTGTTTTCATTTTCAGTTTACGCAGGCATTTCATCATCATGCGACAGCTGCGTTGGCGTAGACCTACAGATTCCAGCAGTAGCAGTTTGTTAGGCCAAAGGTTTCTTCTTTTTTCTTTTTGATTTTAGAATTTCCTTTTCTGCTGTACTTTAATATTGCTTTCACAGAGCCAGGCCTCTTGACATTTTGGTGGCTTTGGGACTCAATATAAAGAAAAACTGTAAGAAGTAGAAGTAATCTCTGAAGATGCAGGGAGCTCTCTGCTGCAGTGCCAAGAACAAATCTTTTAGATTTATGGGTTGTTCCCATTTAAATGTGTACATTTAATATTTGGTTAAGATTAGTGAAAAGGGAGATGAAATGATGAAATGATGGAGCCCTCTGAATAGGGGTCATAGGTCAGTGAAACTACTGATAAGAGTTCATTAAGGAAAGCATGATTTGTTGAAATTTGTAGAAATGGGAAATTGGAAGATGAAGAGTTAAGATTCAGAGTTTTATTAGGAATCAAAAGACTTTACATTTGTAATCCCTGCAGCCATCAGTCATCTTTAGGTACCCAACTGTTAGTAAAAGGACAGTGTGATGTCATTGTCCACAAAGAATACTTCATCTTCCAAATGCCTTTTCTGTGTTAGGCGCTATTGTCTTGATTTACTGTCAGAATAACTTAAATTTTCTGTAAGGTTATTAAAGGGTTTTGTGACTGTTAACTCTCCCCCAAAACTAAAATATAGCTGACCTTAGGCACAGATTACAGATAAGGAATGCATTTGGAACAGTCAGTTTTGCTGTGCTGTGGCTGTTGGGGGAAGGCAGGAGGAGATTTGCCTGATAAAGAAGTGGGAACTTGGAGAAATGTCTAAAGCCGGATGTGGATCCTGTGGAGGAGGGATGGAGCCAGGAATGAAAGAAAGGGGAACTCCTGGGGGAAGGGAGCTGTGCACTGTTGGCTGCTCTCTGGCAGGCCTGACTGCAAGCCCTTGGGTGAAGGGAGAAATTTTGTACCCCAAAGAGGTGAAAGTGCATAGCATTTGAAATTGGAAAACATGACATTTTGACCTTAATCCAAACTCTTAACCCTTCTGGGCCTTAGGTTTTACATCTGTAAAATAAAAATGCTAGTCCTTGCCTATCTGAGGAGATGGGATTATTGTAAGGCTCAGATGTGGTCATGGACACTGTAAAGAGTTGTGGAACTGTTATCTGTTATCTGGTTATGTGAGCCAGGGGTCTTCACCTGGACTCATTTGAAAAAAAAAAAAAAAAGATGCTAGGTAGGAACTGCCACATAATGAGATGCAGTCGTTGTTGTCAGTCAGGAATCCGTGTTTAAATCCTAGGTAGTTCTAGCTCTAGAGACAGCAGTGCAACAGTGGCTTTAGATGTGTGTGTGTGACACAGGACGGCGCTTTAGGCCGAGCTGCAGGAACAGAGGAAATCCTGCAAGCTCCTTCCGTGCCCTTGCTTGCCCAGCTCCACTGCATTTTCTTCATGCCTCTATCACACTCTTGTTCACTGTGGTCTCCCCTAGTGCCTCCACTCCCCTCCTGCAACCTCCTACCTCAATAGAATGCAAATTCCATGAAGGCAGGGGCTTCTTTTTGCCTGTTTGGTTCTCTGTCACGAGCAGTTCCCGGTACGTAATAGGCATTCAAATATTTATAAAAGGAATGAGTGCTGGATTCCAGTGATGTATTGAAATAAATGTCTAGAAACAGGCCTGTGAGCAGTAGATAAAAGAAGGCAGGTCTGAACTCGACAGGAGTGGAACCCTGCCGCTCTGTGAAGAGTGACCGTTGCGCTCTTGCTGGCCGGCGTTCTGGACCTCTGAATTGTCGGTAGGCATTGGTGGTCCCTTACCTGTCTCTTTTTCTTTTTGAACCCTAGCAATAACATTGAAGAAGACACAGTCCTCAAAACCAACAAACACATTTACTCCCAGCTTCTGAGAGCGACTGCAAACAAAAGTGCGACTCTTCTGGAAAGAGTCAATGTCATCGTCCACCTGCTGGGCCAGCTTGCCACCGCCGGCAGTACAGCAAGCAGCAGCGCCGTTCAGTGATGCACAGAGCCGCGTCCCAGACACGCTGTCAGTGCCTTCAACACGGAGCCGGTTTGTTCATTCGGTGCTTTGTTCCATTAAATAATAGGAAAATATCCATTTAAAACGGGAATATCGGTGGAAACACAGAGTTATTTTAAGTGACAGACAAATTACAGTTGAGTTCTGGGGCGTCTTCACTTGAAGTGCTAACGTCAGAATCGAACTTAAAGCTTCCACTATTTATTTCTTTGAGAAGTACATAGTACCTCAATATTAATAGACTTGCTGTGATGCAGTTACACGTTCACATATTTTCGAAGTATGTCAAGCTACATGGGTCTGAGATATTGTTTTGGATAAAATGTTACTTTGGTCAAGAGAACTCTCATCCAAATGATATTACAGGTTCAAGTGGGTTAAGGAGACTTCCTGTACATCCACAGTGTTTCATTTTAAATTGCACAGAAAAAAGGTGTGTTCTTTATAAGCTTCAGTGCAGGATTGTTCCAAGACCAGCTCTTGTGCAGTTTGCTGTATTTAATGCATGTTCTGAAAGGGTTCACTTTTGACTTTATAAGACAGTTGATCAAGAATAGGTACTATCCCTTTTTTTTCATTTTAAACTTGAAACTGTGAATAAGGTAAGAAAACTATTTTGAATAAATAAACTATTTATTTAAAATGTCTTTGTATTTTTCCAGTTTCCATTCCTCACCTTGAGTTTTCATGTGAACTCAGTCTAATTAATAAACTTTACAAAGTAAAGTTCAAAACATTAACATTAAAATTCTGCTGTCCACTGAATTTCCCTAGAATATTTTTCTTATTGCTGCTGCTACATGGCTCTTGTCCAGTTATACACAAGCATCCCCTATTATTTGTAATGGCAGTGGTGCACAAGGCTGTTTTTGTTCATAATTCACATTTCCAATTTCAAGACAGTATAACATGTAAAACAGGCTCTTTCAAGGTGAGGTGAAGGTCTGGACTCCTGTGCATGATGCCACTGTGGGTAGGTCTGTTGCCTAGGCCTGGGGGCAGGTGCGCTGGAGATCCAGCCAGCCCCCTGCAGGCCTGTAGGGAGCTGAGACAGTTGTGCAGGCCCTCCACAGTGGCCATTAGCCCCTCCCACACTAACCACACCTCTGAAGGAATTCCAACTCTACTAGAAAATTCTCTGGAATAACTGGTTTTAAGCCAAATTTTTACTGAGCTATGATGTAAAAGAGGCTTCTTTCTCTTTTACAGAGATTGTCAGGTGTTTTCACTGGCTGAGATTTTGTTTGTTTTAAGACAGGGTCTCACTGTCACCCAGGCTGGAGTACAGTGGCACAATCTCAGCTCACTGCAACCTCTGCCTCACAGACTCAAGGGATCTTCCCACCTCACCCTCCCATGTAGCTGGGACTACAGGCGTGCACCATGATGCCTGGTTAATTTTTTGTATTTTTACTAGAGACAGAGTTTTGCCATGTTGCCCAGGGTGGTCTGCAACTCCTGAACTCAAGGGATCCACCTGCCTCAGCCTCCCAAAGTGCTGGGGTTACAGGCGTGAGCCACCATACCCAGCCCATTGACAGTGAGTTAACATCCGTCAGAGCTTAGCAGAATTCTCTCTCGCCATTTGTCCACTTGGTTGTGGCTTACTTAGATTGCATTTTCCTTGGAACAGATTTGCGTCAGTTTGCAAAAGTTAATCACTGAGACATTTAAAGTTTTGCCTACATTGTAAAGCAGTTGTACAAATTCAGCAATATTTCATTTCAGGACCACTGTCGTTCTTTTTCCCCTTGTAGCAAGTGTACACACATAACAAAACCGTCTTTGCCCTGCTAGATAAACCTAGACACCTCTGTTGATTATAATCCAAGATGATATGTCATCTTTTGAGTTAATGAATTCAGAGGGATGTTCCTACTTAGTAGGAATGAGCTGGGGTGAGGGGTATAAGAGTTGCTTATCTTTTCTCCCAGCCCCTCTCCTTGGCTGAAACAGCCTTTCAGTCAAGAAGGGAATGTGTTCTTATGTAAGCATAAATTATAGCCATCTTCCTTTTTCAAAACGATAACACGAAAGTTCCTACAGGGGAAGAAAAGATCCTTAAAACATATATTTGTAATTTGCTATTTTTAACCTACCTGTGTTTTAGCTGTTCCTTTAGAAGAAGAAATGTGGTATTTGTGGCCTGATCATTGAGGCCACTGAAACCATCTTAGTTCGTTTCATTGCCCAGATTTTGTTCACCTCGTTACAAATGACATTGGGTTTCGTTCGGGTTAAGAGTTAATAATCGTATTATATAAAAGTCGAAGGGACATATGCCTATCCTAGATATAACTGATATTGGAAACATGAAATTATCCAACTAGCTTCAAGAGTCTCCTTTTGGTAGTCTGGTCTTTAGAACCTGAGTAAAGTGTCATATGAAGTGCAGGAGAGAACACTAAGTGAATTCCAGTGAAGCAGAAGAGTTGTTCTGTTCAGGAGCATTTGGGTTGCAGGCCCGTGTGTTCAAAGAAGGCGGTGGAACTCACTGCAGGGCCGGCCACCACCGCAGTGACACAGAGGAAGTGCAGAGGACCCTGGGCTGAGATTTGGAGATGAGGGCCCAGAGCTGCCACTGCATTTGACTTTTGGCAGGATACAACAGATGAACTTCGGTTAATATGACTGGAAATGTGTACCATAGTATCCAGCCTGCCGCGCTGACAGAGTTGTGAAGATCAAGAGAGAAATACACTTGAAAGCCTTTTGTACACTGTCATTAGAGAAATGTCATTCTGACGGGGACTTTGGAGTGCAATTCATTTGAATTCCATGACCTTTCCAATTGAATCCCTCAGTAAGATCATACCCATGGCATCTCCTTCCTTGATACCTTGACCCACGGCTCTGGTCACCTTTCCAACTCCCATAAATCAGGGGGACAAGCAGTTGGGATGGGCAGAGCCCCACAGAGTAGAAAGCAGACAAAGATCCTTGGATGCTTAGTTTTGTTTCTAACCTTTCTAGGTTATGAATTATGTTTTACCTGAGCAACTGATTTTTAAATCAAGTATTTTAAAAGTTCAACTAAGGCGTTTTCCATTGGGTTTTAGCTTACAGAGCCATATTTGCGGTCAGCTGCTGAAAATCTGATGTTCTTTGTAAACACTATCAGAATTTTTCTCTTGGCGAAGTCCTATGACCTGACTCTCCATTTTCCGCTTTTCTCATTACATGTTCAGTGTGGAGATATGGACATCACAAACATCAAACCACTTCTCTGAAATAAACTTTTTTGGAAATAAGCCATTAGTAGGAAGCCAGGAATTCTTTTGCTTGTCCTTGTCATTAACCACTTTCCAGTATGCATTGCCTTTGAGAAGGAACACGGAGTTGTGTGCGTAGGAGTGATAAGCAGAATCTACGTTTCGGAAAGGGTGGTCTTGTGGTGTCACCGCTGGGAAAACCTCGGTCATCTTCTTTGGGTAAGAATCAAGAACTCGGTTTCTGTTGACATCAAATGCAAATACCTGCAAAGCAGATTAGACAGACTGGCTCTTCGGAAGATCACTCCTATTTTAGGTTAACTTACAGCAATGAGATAAGCAACTCGGACTTTGTACCAAATTCTTTAGCCTTGAACGTCCTAATTTTCCGTTTGTAATGCTCTGCCGTTGCTATTTAGATCTGACGTGAGTACAGGCTTTTTTGTTTTTTCTTTTGTTTTTTTGGGGACCAGTCTCACACTTGCCCAGGCTGGACTGTAGTGCAGTGGTGCAATCACAGCTCACTGCAGCCTCGACCTCCCAGGCTCAAGTGATCGTCTTGCCTCGGCCTCCCAGGCAGCTGGGACCACAGGCATGTGCCATGACACCTGGATAATTTCTGTATTTTTTGTTGAGACCAAAACATGGGTTACACTTTGTTTCCCAGACTGGTTTCAAACTCCCAGGCTTAAGCGATCTGCCTCATCCTCCAAAGTGCTGGGATTCCAGGCATGAGCCACACTGTGCCAGGCTCATGTCATTTAAATAGGAACTTGGTCATCTGACACATCTCTATTTGGGATGACAGAAGCAATGCTAGGCTGAAGAGCCTTTACTTACAAGGGACTCCTTGAAGAAGTAAATTAACTTCTTTCTTCGGTCATAAAAGGCCGTGTCCAGGGGACTCGGGATGCCAGGAAATCCTTCGGATATCAACTTGGGATAGCTCTTTCCTTGTTCATCTTCTGTAAAGGCCTGGTCCTTGTCACTGTCGTATCTCCAGTATTGATTTCCTGAGGGCCAACGAAAATAAGTTCATGTGGTTCATTAATATTAAAGGGAACGTGACAAAGAGGACAGTTTTCAAGATAGGTCTCAGCCAGTCCTGTACAGCATGTCACCGTGATTCTAGGAGGAAGTGGGGCTTTCACCATCACAGAAGCCTCCACTCGGTGATGCCCAGGTCTGGAATGACTTCTGGATTCAGCCCAGGGAATGCATTCTTCTTGGACACCATTGCTGCAGCTGGAATGCTGGTTGCCTTTCACAGCAAAAGCAAACCCCATCCTGTGAACATCATTTTATTGGCTCTCATCAAAAGCAAAAACAAAACAGCAAAACTAATGTCTTTTTTACCTATCTTAATTTCTTCTTCTTCTTCCTTTACAGTCTAAAGCTGTTCCTTTTAATGTCAGTGGCCCAAGGCTTGGAATCATTTTCCTATCCTAGTCAGTGTAAGCCCTCTTTGTACAGAAGAAATCATGATCCTTATGATTGGATTATACCTTGGTTTTAGAGTCATCTAGATCCACCACCACGCCCATTTTACAAATAAGGACACTGGAATAGAGAAAGCTGAAGCGAATGCAGGCCAGGACTCTCAGATTCCACTCCAGAGAGACTCCCCACTGTCCTGTGAAATGGAACTTGGTCCATTTTGTTTCAAAGTTCAAATGCTAATTCCAGGCCGGGCGCAGTGGCTCAAGCCTGTAATCCCAGCACTTTGGGAGGCCGAGGCGGGCGGATCACGAGGCTAAGAGATCAAGACCATTCTGGTCAACATGATGAAACCCCGTCTCTACTAAAAATACAAAAAATTAGCTGGGCGTGGTGGCGCGTGCCTGTAATCCCAGCTACTCGGGAGGCTGAGGCAGGAGAATTGCTTGAACCCAGGAGGCGGAGGTTGCGGTGGGCCGAGATCGCGCCATTGCACTCCAGCCTGGGTAACAAGAGCGAAACTCCGTCTCAAAAAAAAAAAAAAAAAAAAAAAAGCTAATTCCGTGCTCTAAATCAATAGGGGGTTATTTTAGGCTCTTGCTAGTTCCTAATCCTGAATATTTGGCATCTTGCCAACATAGAATAGATTAAACACACTTCTTTGGTGTTCACAACTCACAGAGCACCCCAAGCAGTACATTCCTTAGCAACCAAATATTTAATGTGTTTGGAAAAGTTCACCACTGAGAACAATGTGATGTATGTCCAGTTAGAGATGCAATTCACTCTGACAGGAATTTCTTTTAATCCAAAATATGCATAGCAAATTAAGATGCTTTTAACGCTCCAAGAATAAAATACAGCTGTATTGTAGCAGTTCTCCTATGATGACCTAATTCCATGAGTAAGATTTTTTGAGTGTGGCTAACATAAATGAGTTTGGGACTTCTTAAGGCCCTAAAAGATGTGCCTCCACCGCTGGAAGATCTGAACTATAAAAGTCCGCTGTCAGGCGATTTGTTTATGTAACTGAACTAATTCTTCCTTTGTGTGATATGAAGGAAAATTAAGACCAAATGTACATACAGGATCCTTGTGGTAAATTTTGCAGAGGGAGTACCTAACTTGACTCTGGGTAGGAAAGGGGAAGGAAAAAGCAGTGACCACTAAATCCTGTTTGTGATTGGACTCTATTGTCTGGTTTGCAAAGGCAGCATGACTCGTGCACGAGGCCCAGGGTACTGGATGAGACCAGGTGAGTAAGGAGTAGTGACAGCAAGAGAGTCCCAGACCTGCCTTTCTTCGTGCATCCCCATGACCCCCCCACGCTCCCCCGCATCAGCTTCTGCCTTCCAGCAAAACATTGACCTTCTCTGTTGAGAAATTGCCATTGATTCCTCATGGCCTGCCCAGTGAAGTCCAGCCTCTGGCCCTGGCATTTGAGGCCCTCCGTGGTTGGGCCAACCCGCCTTTCTAGCCTGATCTCACCTGTGTGGGTCTGTCGCCAACTCTGATGGACCCCAGTCTCCCAGCTCTGCGGCATTTTCACTCCCAGCCCCACAGCTTGGCTTCTGCTGCTTGTCTCTGACCACTTGCACACCCTTATCCACTCACCAATCTGGGTACCTTTTTCTGGGCATCCCAGATCCCACCCATTCTTGAGTCTAGGCCAAGACCTGATTGCTGGGGGCATCAGCACCCAATTCCAGTGACAGTGATCACCTCTTCTTGGCCAACCCTTAAAAACACTTCTGCTCCTAGGCTTCCAAGGTGTTTTCTTTTCCTCTAGAACCAGATTAAAACTCCTGCCGGCAGGGCCCTTTGTTACAGTTTTTTGGCAATCCCCTTAATGCCTAGTAGAATTCATTCACTCATTTGGTGACTTAAGTGCCTTCTTAAAAAGATCAGGGGGCTGGGTCAGTGGTAATCCCAACAATTTGAGAGGCCAAGGTGGGAAGACAGCTTGAAGCCAGGAGTTCAAGACTAGCCTAGCCAACTTAGTGAGACCCCATCTCTACGAAAAAAAAATTTCTTTTTTAAATTAAGCTAGGTGTAGTGGCGTGAGCCTGTGGTCCCAGCTACTCAGGAGACTGAGGTGGGAACATGACTTGAGCCTAGGAGGTAGAGGCCGTAGCGAGCCATGACTGTGCACTCCAGCCTGGGTGACTGAAACTGTCTCAGAAACAAACAAACAACAATAGAACCCAATCCTTGTGCTCTCAGACCTTCCTGTCTGATGGAGCAGATGGAAATTAACAAATGATGATAAGAGCACGACAGCAGATTTCTTGGTAGGGGCTCAAGACCTTCCTTCTGAGTACATTTGTTTAGTAAGAGAAAGAGAACCATGAATGAAGAATCTGTACCTTTAAAAAAATATCGTTCATCTCTTCTCCATGTCCAGATGTGAACGAAGGCATCTATGCTGTGTGCTGGGATTCCATGCCAGCCAACGAGGATTTGGATAGGGTCCCCATAGCGTGTCCTGTTGTTTCGGTTTTCATAAAGCCAGTACCAGCTGTTGCGGAAGAAATACGTGCTAAATCTCACCATCACCTCTCCATATTGGTTTCTCTCTTTGCGAATCCAGTCAAATGCTGTATCAAATGTTCCCTCACAGGAGCCTTAAAAAAAAAAAAAACCAGCCTCTTGTCATATGGTGCAAAAACTTATATTTTCGTGTGTGACTTGAATGAAGACAGTTGCAAAGCTGGGGCTTTCTATAAAAACACCTTTAAAACACCGTGTAAGACTGAAGTGGCGCCAGGTGCAGTGGCACGTTCCTGTAATCCCGGCACCTCGGGAGACCGAGGCAGGAGGATTGCTTGAGCCTAAGACTTCAAGATCACCCTGGGCAACGTGAAACCCAGTCTACAAAAAAATTAGCCACGCATGGTGCCTGTGGTCCCAGCTACTTGGGAGGCTGAAGTGGAAGGATCACTTGGGCCTGAGAAACTGAGGCTGCAATGAACTGAGGTCAGGGCATTACACTTCAGCCTGGGTGACAGAGTGAGACCCTATCTTAAAAAAAAAAAAAAAGATTGAGATGGCTGAGCAGAGGGAGCTGGAGGCACCAGGGTGCCTGCTGCAGCCCTGGCTCTCGGGCACCGTCCTTCATTCCTCCCGTGGCCCAGGCCGCTCTCGCAAGCATCTCAATGTGGGTGCAGTTTACAGTTGACCACCCTAAATACAGCTCGAGAATGCCTCCCTTGACGCCTTGACGGCAGTTTGACTTCATCAGAGAGAAGTTTAATTCTGGGCTCATGTCAGAGCAAGATTTCCACTGGGGCAAGTCAGTGTGTCCTGGCAGTTGTTATCTCCAAAGACACAGAGTACTGAGAACGGGGGGATGTGAGAACAGAAATGGGGTGGTCTCCGTTAAGGACTTTTTTGTTTGTTTGAGATAGTCTTGCTCTGTCACCCAGGCTGGAGTGCAGTGGTGCAATCTTGGCTCACTGCAACCTCCGCCTCCTGGGTTCAAGTGATTCTCCTGCCTCAGCTTCCCACATAGCTGGGATTACAGGCATGTGCCACGATGCCTGGCTAATTTTTATATTAATGGTAGAGACAGGGTTTCAACACGTTGGCCAGGCTGGTCTCGAACTCCTGGCATCAAAGATCTGCCCGCCTTGTCTTCCCAAAGTGCTGGGATTACAGGCGTGAGCCACCGTGCCCAGCTTAGGGACTTCTGAATAGAGAAGAGGACAGCTTTCTTCCCTTGGCCTCTGTGCTAAATCACTAATCACTTTAATTAAATAACCACTAGAACATTTGGCCTGAACATTTTAAAATAGATTGGAGCTTATCCTGGCCAGGCTAAGCTGCTCTTTGCGGTGGGATTGCAGTAAACTCCCAGGGCTTCCAGTGTGTGTGTCTCTGGTGGGATACCACAGCACAGTGGCGGGGGGAGGGAGAGCTTATGTTGAGAAAACCACTGTGTTCACTGCCCTCCTAGGAAATGCATGTGGCAAGTGGAAGAGAGGACACAGGAGGGACTGGCGGTCAGCTGGGCAGAACCTCTTTTTACTAAGACAGCAGCAGCACGGAGCTAGAGGGCGGCTACTCTTGGGTAGCGCAGTTGTACAACGTTGTGATCTTGGGCCCCGGCTCCCACTGAGGAGTGATCGGGGTCCTGCTGTGCTCGGGAACACTGAGTGTCCTCCCTGAGCTCGGGGATGGCCTCCCCGGCATTCTTACCGTACAGCTTTTGAATCGCTTTCCTGTCCGCCCAGTCCAACTCAAACACAGGCTCCTGGGGAGTGTAGTTTGGTTGCATTATGGATCCTGTCCTGTAGGTGTGAGGCAAGCCCAAAACATGGCCAATTTCATGGACGGCCACCTAGAAGGGGACACACACCATGGCGCTGGGGGAAGCCTGGGCGACGGATCCCTGCGTTACAGCTGGAAGGCCTGTGCTTGTGAAGAGGGGAGCACTGGTGGAACTAGGGAACCGTGGCCAGGCACGGATTTGCCTCCTCAGAGGATGCGGACACTTCCTGGGAAAAGCTTGGACTTTTTGGATGTCGGCCCGTGAGCACTGCTGGTGCCTTATCAACATGAGCAGCTCAGGACCACTGACCTTGAGAAGGCTAATGCCCATGTCACTGGTGGGAGGTGTGAAGTGTTCGTCATCGTCAAAGTGAATGTCACCTAGGCGCCAGGCATGTGCAAACTCCTGTCCGCTCCCATCGAAGGCCCGGGGACAGCCCAGGTGCCGGCCTAGAGATGGGGAGAAGGAGGTGGTCCCAGGGAAGGATGAGTACCCCTCATACAGACGCCTCACCTAGAGTACATGACAGGGTCCCCAGCCTCCAGGAACCAGCAGCAGAGGCAGACAGAGCCACAGCTCCTGCATTAAGCCCTCAACGTGAGGAGGGTGGGAGACTGTGTGTTTATAAACTGTTTTCAGTCCACAGACTGTCAAGAGACCAGCAGGCACCAAGTGCCTGGGAGCGGAGGGGAGTGGATGGGAGCAGAGGGGAGCGGGGCTGGGTAAGAGCTCAGCTGAGGGCCTGGGAAGACGGCACAAAGGCTTCATCCAGGCAAGATCCGGGAGGCTCCTTGCCTCTGCGGCAGACATGAAGTAGTGGAGGCCGGGTCCCTTACATTTGTTTTTTTCAGCCAACCGTGTCCCTGTACTTCTCATGCTGGGACATTAACCCAGTGAGACCAGAAGACAGCCCTGAGCACCTCTGGGTCATAGATGGGGCTGCAAAGCTGCTCAGGCATTTGTCCAGTTGCATGGGGGAGGTGGTGGCACCTGTGCCTGACCCCGCCCTGTCCTGAGGCCCCTGCTCCCTGGGGAAGCCTGAGGCACAGGCAGGGGGGCTGCATGGGGCTTTGAGGAGCAGGCCGGGAAGCAGCCTGCGGGCAGGGCGGGCCGTAGTGTCACCGCAGGCCACACCAGGCTCTCCGCAGGGTGACCGCGATTCTGACAAGACCCCACTGACCAGAGGCTCCGCCTGCCCTGCTGACAGGTGTCTCTGGGACAGGCCGGGAGGGCTAAGCACCCCCCATTCTGCAGGAGGCGGAGGCAGGAGGAGGGGGAGGCATGCCGGGGTCCCCGAGGTGCTCTTACCTCTCCCAAAGCCCAGCTTGATGTCGACCGCGGCCCCGGGGGCAGCCAGGTCCTCGCGGAAGTCCAGCGGCGTCACCTCGCTCCACATCCTGAAGGCCAGGGCCACGATGCGCCTCTGCTCCGCCGCGGACAGCTGGCTGCTCAGAGCCTCGCCCAGCAGCCGCCAGCTCAGCGTCCTCTTGGAGAAGGCCTGGGCGGCCCCGCCGTCAGTGAAGCCCCGGGGCTGCCAACCCCGCCGGGACAGGGACAGGGACGGCAGCATCCACGGGGAGCGCCTGGGGCGGACTCTGGGGAGCGGGCTGGGGGGAACACGCGGGGCAGCCGGGGGTGGCGGGCGCGTGTCCGGGACCCCGCAGCGCGGCCGGTTCATGGCCGCCAGGGTGGCCGCGTCCAGCTCCCCGCTGGCCGGCAGCGCGTTCGCCCGCTGGAACCTGCGCACCGCCTGGGCCAGGGAGGTGCCCTTGGGGGTCTCTGGTGGCCCCTCGGGGCTGGGCCCCCACGCCGCCTGCGCCCCCGACCAGCCGTATCTGGACAAGAACCGCTGCGGGAGAGAAACGCACTCTAATCCGGGGCCATCTCCCTTCTGGCCTTCCTCCACCCGGGCTGCCCTGCCCCAGAGCCTCGAGAGAGAGAGACACAGATAAAGAGACAGAGACAAAGAGAGAGACAGATGGCAGCAGAGAGACAGGCAGGGAGAAACAAGAAGACAGAGAGACTGAGATCTAGAGAGAGAGGCAGTGAGAGTCAGAGGCAGGAGCGAGTCCTGGGCGCAGTCCTGAGTCCTTGGATGGGCGCCAGGTGGGGTCAGAGGCGCCACAGGGCCCGAGGAGACTGGGCAGCGGGGTGAGCTGGTGCCAGGAAGAGGTGAGAGGTCGGGGTTGGGGAGGGCGCTCCCTGAGGCCATGCCGGGCAGGATGGGGGTGCCAAAGAAGGCCGGGTGTGGACACACCGCAGAGAAGGCCTTGGAGAGGCCTGCCTTGAGAGCTGGGAATTCGAACTGAGGGGTTTGGCAGTGGTTGGGTCTGAGGACCTGGGGGCTTCCTCATGGCCGCACAAAGGGAGCAAGGGAGGGAGGGAGGCGGGCTCCACGCTGCTGAGAGCCTGGCTACAGGGGAGCTCTCCTGCTCCCTGCCCTGGCCTCTGGGGCACCCTGGGAGCTGGGAATTGGACTTGACCCTGAGCATCAGCTCCAGCCTGTGGTCACCACAGGACCACGTGCCAGGGCAGGTCAAGGGGCCTCATCGGTCCACTCCCTGCCCCCAGAACGACTCTCTGGAGGAGGGGATCACCTGCATCGGACTTCCTGGGTGCTTCACCACAGACTCTGGCAAAGTCCACGGATGCCACCCCAGACAGCTCTGTTAGGATCCTCTCACTATTGCTGTGCTAGGGAAGCTTGCAGGGTCGTCCCCTTTTCTACATCCAGATACTGGTATGTGAGCAGCCACAGATGTCTCCAGACAGTGCCTTGGCCACCACAGTACCACATGCTTGCCTTTGAAAAGGCACTTGGCATTCGAGTCTGTTGTCTGTGTGAACGGGCATTTCTCTCTCACTAGGGCTGACCTGCGGGGTTGTCGAATCGAGTTAAGCATCGATTCATGGTTGTTCCAGCAGGAGCCACAGGAGCTACTCCTCCCTCCCAGCCCAGCCTGCCTGGCTCTTCTCTGCCTCCACATAGCTGGCATCCTGGCCTGTGCACGTGCGAGCCTGTGTGCATGTTGGGTGCCTGGGGGTGTTGCTTTTCCGGCCTCCTCCTACCTGAGCAGCATGGAGGTCAGCAATGGGCTGGGCCTGGCGCAGCGGGGATGGCTCCAGGTCCGAGTGGTCCCGGCTGTGGAAGAGGCTCTCAGGCTGGGTGGGCCCGGGAGCAGCCAGCCAGCAGAGCAGCAGTGTCGGACGGAAAATGGAGGCGGTGAGCATTGCCCTCCCTGCCTGGCTTCGTCCCCGTCGTCACCTCTCCTTAAGGAGCCAGACCTGAGGTGGCTTTTATAAGCAGCCCAGAAGGGAGCACCCAGGTTTCCAAGCATTTCTCACCCAGCCCCGAAGTGTGCCCACTTGGAGGCCACGTGGCAGGCCCTGGGTGTTCTGCCTTTGAAGACCCCAGGCTCACCTTTCTTGTTGGCGTGAGAACTCCTCTCCTCTTTGCCATATCCTCAGGTAATTACATCCTCCAGTCCCTGCGGGTTCCGTTTCTATGGAGATGTGCTGTGGGCAAGCTTGCCGCTAAATGAGCTGTGGAATTAACAGTGGCACAAGACCGCACCCCTAACAATGTGCATCTCAGAACTGGGCCTGAGTTTAAAAACCCTGACCGTTAGTTTGCCTACAGTTTGGGTCACTTTTTTTCTAGGTGAACTGGGATTTGGGGATTTTTAGTTTGTTTCTCAGACTTTTTTTGTGTGGCTTCTCTTTTTGTTTCTCTTTATATAAAGGCGATCTAATCAGTAGATAGTATATATTGTAAAAGTACTGAGAATAAAGAAAAAATTCTGTGATTCCGGTAGTACCATTTCAGTGAACATTCTATGTGCAGGTGCCTGAAGAAGTATCTGTGTGTCTCCATTTTACAGAAACTCTATTCTCCATTCCTTACAAGTCAGCACAACGTTACAGGCACTTTTCTGTTTCTGAATCTAGTATTTATCTTTCTAGTTAATGACTGCACAGTGTCCCATTCTGTGGGTAGAGATTTTTACATGAGGATAAACTAGAATCACCTCAGCCCACCTACTTTCCCCTCATGGAGAAGCCTCAAGTCTCTCTGGGATCCTGAAGACAGAGCCTTCCCCAAAGCGGGCTGTTATTTGAGCAGACATCCGCCAGAAAGTGCAGACTGACTGGGCCACAGCTGTCCATGGGGCTGATCATAGAAATATGGAGAGGCCAGGTGCAGTGGCTCAGATCCATAATCCCAGCATTATGGGAGGCTGAGGCAGGAGGACTGAGGCCAGGAGTTTGAGACCAGCTAGAGCAACATAGTGGGACCCCAACTCTACCAAAAAAAATGTTTAAAAATTAGCTTGGCATGGGTCAGGCATGGTGGCTCACACCTACAATCCTAACATTTTGGGAGGTGAGTTGGGCGGATTGCTTGAGTCCAGGAGTTTAAGACCAGCCAGGGCAACATGGTGAAACCCCATCTCTACTAAAAATACAAAAATTAGCCGGGCGTGGTGGCACGTGCCTGTAGTTCCAGCTACTTGGCAGGGATTTGAGGCTGGAGGATCACTTGAGCCCAGGAGGCTGAGGCTGAAATGAGCTGAGATTACACCGCTGCACAACAAACAAGATGACAGAATGAGACCATGTTTCGAAAGGAGAAAAAAAATGGACAGAGTGATGTGTGCCACTCGCAGGCCTAACTCTGAGATCACCCTCATATTCTCTGTGATTTCTCTTCCCTCAACTCCTGGCCCCATGCAGAGCATCCAGCAGAAGTGGCTTGGATCCCTGAATGCCCCTGTGGAAGGCCACCCTCGAACCCTTGACTGCTCTGTGACTGGCCCCATGCAGAGCATCCAGCAGAAGTGGCTTGGATCCCTGAATGCCCCTGTGGAAGGCCACCCTCGAACCCTTGACTGCTCTGTGACTGGCCCCATGCAGAGCATCCAGCAGAAGTGGCTTGGATCCCTGAATGCCCCTGTGGAAGGCCACCCTCGAACCCTTGACTGCTCTGTGACTGGCCCCATGCAGAGCATCCAGCAGAAGTGGCTTGGATCCCTGAATGCCCCTGTGGAAGGCCACCCTCGAACCCTTGACTGCTCTGTGACTGGAGCAAGAAACACAACTTTATAGTGTGGAACCTAAGATTTGGGGTTGGTGGGTGAGCAGTTAAGACGACCCTCAGAGAAGCCACTTAATGCTTACTCTGTCCCCAGAAGGACCCATAACATGCTCCTTGTTCCCTAAGATCTGTCTGCAATAGGCTACAGCTGGCCCTTCCCTCTCTGGTGAAGGCTGCAGAGGTCAAGGGGCAGGATGGGTGTTCCCATCCCCGATGAGGGCCTCCACTCAGGGAAGCACCCTGCTCCTGTGAGCCTCATGACAGGTTTCTGGGTCACCTCCAGCCTTCCTAGTGGCTGTCGTCTCCCCATGATGCATTTTCCCCTTTTCTTGCAGAGCTCTTCTGTATTCCAGGTCCTTCTGCTGTCCTGGCTGACCCTGGTGTTCCTGTGAATGACCGGTGCACTGCTCTGACCTCCCCAACCGTGACTCTAATCTGACGATTCTCACCTCTGCTCCATTCAAGTCACCCATGGCATGGCCTGGCTCAGCCCTGCCACCCCCTGGACTGCTGCACCTCTGATCCCACAGGCATAGGCAGCCCCTCAGGCCCACTGCTGGCTCTCCTTGGAGCTTCTCACCCTCTTGTCCCTATCGCATGGTCCTTCGACCCCCAGTTGCGCTGAGGGTGCTGCGAGTCCTTCTGCCTAACCCACTTAAGTTGCCTTGGATCCTTGGCTTTCACCCTGTCCAGTTCAGATCCCAGACACTGACCAAGCCCTCACCTGAGAACCTCCCACCACCCCTGTGCTGGGCGGCACCCTGGGCGGATTTGGCTGTCTCCTGCGTCTTGCTGAGCACTAATTTGCTCATTCATTTCCTTTAAACTCATTACTACCACCCCTTCCCCTGGGCTCCTCCACTGCAAGCAACCCCCTCATCTCCCACTTTCCTGAGTGTTTTCCATTCCTCCTCTCTTCTTGGTGGGTCACATAGATGCCTGCAGGGGCTGATCCTCAGGGGCAGGGAAAGGACAGAGTATGGGGAGGCAAAAGTAAGTCGAGGTTCAGGTTCACTGCAGGTATTTCTACCCTAGTATCCAGAGAGCTTGCAGGAAATGAATGAAAGTTTCTTGGGCACTGTGACTTTGCAGGTGAGAGCTTAGAATTTTACGTCAGAGGTCTGCCAAGAAGAGCAGGTGTGCGCATGCCTGTGTGGGGCTGTTATTCATTCAGTCATTGTGAAACCAGTACTTATTACTTTCCTAAGGAAGACAGAAATGAACATGACAAATTCATTCCCTACTGTGTTAGTCAGGGTTCCATAGAGGGACAGAACGAATAGGGCATTTATATATAAAACGTTATTAAGTGGTATTAACTCACACGATCACAAGGTCTCACAATAGGTCATCTGCAAGCTGAGGAGCAAGGAGAGCCAGTCCAACTCCCAGGCTGAAGAGCTTGGAGTACGATGTTCCAGAGCAGGAAGCATCCAACATGGGAGAAAGATGCAGGCTGGGAGGCTAGGCCAGTCTAGCCTTTTCCTGTTTTTCTATTCTGGCAGCTGATTAGATGGTGCCCGCCCAGGTTAAGGGTGGGTTTGCCTGTCCCAGCCACTGACCCAAGTGTTAATCACCTTTGGCAACACCCTCAGATATGCCCAGGATCAATACTTTGCATCCTTCAATCCAGTCAAGGGGACACTCAGTATTAACCATCACACCTACCCTCATGGAATTTATATTCTAAGTAGGGAAGGCAAAATAAACAAAAAAGAAAAGAAAAATTCCAATAGTGACAGGTGGTAGGAATAGAATTAGTGAAAGTGAATGTGTAGGAGGAAGAGTGAATATTCAGGTGAGCAGGAAAGATCTCTTGTGCAGATGAAATCTGGGCAACAGCAGAAAAATCAGAGGACTCAGTCACATGTGACTGGGAGTTCAGGAGTGGTGTACATCTTCCCTCATCAGGAAAGGGCACGTGCACAGGTCCTGAGGCCGGGAGCGGCTGGGCAGACCTACAATAGCAGAGAAGAAAGAAGGCTGGACGTGACTGGGAGGAGTGAGCTGAAAGGGGAGGATGGAGAGGAGGACAGACAAAGTCTTGCTCTGTCGCCCAGGCTGGAGTGTAGTGTGACATGATCTCAGCTCACTGCAACCTATACCTCTCAGGCTCAAGCAATTCTCCTGCCTCAGTCTCCTGAATAGCTGGGATTACAGACATGTACCACCACACCTGGCTAAGTTTTTGCATTTTTAGTAGAGAATGAGTTTCGCCATATTGGCCAGGGTGGACTTGAACTCCTGGCCTCAAGAGAACTGCCCGCCTCGACCTCCCAAAGTGCTGGTATTACAGGCATGAGCCACTGTGCCTGGCCAAGATTTTCTTCGAAGAGCATTTTATTCAAATTCTGAGAAGGTTTATCTTGATGTCTGCCAATTCACTTGATTATTTTATCATTTAGATTTGGTTATAAAAGAAAAATCTCATAGTAATAGTGGGTTAAACAACATAGAAGTTGATATGTCTTTATATTCAAGAAGTCTAGAGGTGGGATAGTTGTTATGCCCACAGTGTCATCTTGTTCTAGAAAACTTCCTTTCCCCAGTGTCATCTCAGGGCCCAAGATGGCTACTGGAGTTTCAGTTCTTATACCTGCATTCCAGGAAAAAGGAAGAACGATGTCAGGGGTGTACATCTAACTACATCCCCTTGACTACAACTTAATCACACGCTCATGCCTACCTGTGAAGGAAGCTGGGAAATGTAGTTCTTATTCCAAATGGCCTCATACTTTGCTGAACATCAAGGATTCTTGTTCCAGGGTAAGGAATGTTGAGATCACCTCACTGACTCTATCCCTGTCATCTACTTCCTTAGAATTCTTAGTAAAATGATTCCTGCTAGTTTATTTTCTGAAGATTTGTATACAACACAATGTTTTTATTTTGTTACTTTCCATTCACGGGGAAGTTGCATTAACATTTAACTCTGTGTGACTACATGTAACTCATGAGTTAAAGCACATAAAACTCAGAACAGGGTCTGAGAACATGTCCCATAAATGAGCTGTGGCTATAGGGTCCAGAGGGAAAACCTTCAGTTCTTACCGCTGGCCCACCTGGGCCTGGGGGCCAGGTGCATTCTGCCTTGGCTCTCAAATTCCTGCATGATCCTTTATTCCTTCCCTGCACAAACTTCTTCAGCAACTCTCCTCAGTCCAGGAGCTGGAGGGGAAGGCACATGAGGGTGATGCAAAGAGGGAATGTAGGTCACACAACTGTAGGAAAACCCTGTGCAGCACATCTGCTCAGTGTCTTCTCCCACCTCATCCTTCTGTCGCTTCTGATCCCCAGGAAGGACACCAGAAGGCTGGCCACCCAGCCTGCTGGGGCATTACTCTGTCTGGAGCTGCTGGTGGGAGGGTGTGACTCACTCACCAGCCTCGGTGGCCCTATTGCCACTCAGGGTGTTGTATGAGACTCTAGCGTCAACCTGGCTTCCCACGTTGACTTGAGTCACCCAGAACATCTACAGACTGAACGCTGAACTTTCCCCAGCACATCAGGAACAGCTGGATCTGCAAAAAGTAGGAATGAAGTTTGGGAACAGATTTCCAAGGCCTTTCTACAGGGCTTTCCATTTGCACACGAACCTCTTCTAAGTAAATGCTGACCTCCCCAGTGCCTCAGATTCCTGGGAGATCATATGGTCTGTCTGATGCTGCAGTTGTATCTTTGAGGAAAAGCCTTACATAAGCTTCTGTTCTCTCCCATCTAGCCACTGAGCCATAAAATGATTAGTTAACATAATTATTGTCCTTAATAGAAACTGCAGCCCCATGGGAGGGTGAGCAGAAGAAATGACTGTGACATCCCTAGGCTTCACTTTCTTAAGCTTGGTAATTACAGAGCTTACCTTCTGCCCCCACCTATGCCTTCAGAATCAGGGTTTCTTCCCAGTGCCTTTCTTTTGTTTTTGTTTTTTTTTTGAGGCAGAGTTTTGCTCTTGTTACCCAGGCTGGAGTGCAACGGCGTGATCTCGGCTCACCGCAACCTCCGCCTCCTGGGTTCAGGCAATTCTCCTGCCTCAGCCTCCCGAGTAGCTGGGATTACAGGCACACGCCACCGTGTCCAGCTAATTTTTTGTATTTTTAGTAGAGACGGGGTTTCACCATGTTGACCAGGATGGTCTTGATCTCTTGACCTCGTGATCCACCCGCCTTGGCCTCCCAAAGTGCTGGAATTACAGGTGTGAGCCACCGCGCCTGGCCCCCAGTGCCTTTCAAACTGGTTTTTACCTACTCAGCTCTCATGTTCTCAGGAATCTCCAGCCAAACTGCCAAAGAAAGCCCAGCTCCTGACCCACCCGATGGCCGAGGACTCACACCTGCTGCTTTGCTCATCTACCGACCATGCATGAGCTCCCTGCCTTCCTAACCCCAAACAGATCCATCTTTAACCATGCCCTGCCCTGCTCCATATGAAACAAGCCTTCGCCAGAACGGTCAATAGCCTCACATCCTCTTCAAAAGGTGGCTTCAGGTTGTGTGGGAATGAAAGGACACACGTGTGGTGTTTAATACCACATAGACATTTAGTGAACCTTTGTCCCTGATTCTGCCCCCTGGCCCCTAAGGCTACGAAAAGGAACCTCTTTTCCCTGCCCTGCAACAGGGTGTTCCTCCTCCTTCTTCAACAGCCTGCGCTTCTGAAGCCCACGCGTCCCTCTCACTCGGTCTGCTTACAGCTTGGACTTTTCCTCTTCCTTCCTCACTTCCGGGCTTGTCTTGCTTCTCCAGCCTCTCCACCATGCATGAGGATGTTCCTGATTGCACTCCAGCTATGGGGGACCCCATTCTTGCAATCCAGCAGTCTCCAAACATGGGTGCACACTGGAGGCACCTAGAGAGCTTCTAACACCTCCTCCTGCTTGGGCTTTATTCTAGAAACCAATTCAGGGAAATCTGTAGGGGTGGGTCCTGAGCAATTTCATTTTAGAAGCACATCACATCATGTGGTTCTGATGTACAGCCAGGTTCTTAGTTCATGGGCTAATCTATTTCACTTTGGTACTATGGAGAAAAACATGTATGAAACAGTGCTTGCCCAATTATTTTACTTAATCTCCTGGGGCAAGTGGTTATTTCAGGCAGCCATCACCATAATCCAGTTTTAGAACAGTTCTCAAAGAATATAATCACACCAAGATTTGGAGAACAAGTATCACCGAATTCTCACCTCTACTACTATGAGTCTCATGAGGCGGCCGATGAATTTCATGAGTGTAGGCCTAAGTGCTTATGCTCATCAATCCCTTTTAATTTTGTTCCAGCTCTGCCACTCACTAGCTATGTGACCCTGAGAAATCATTTCAACTCTTGAGGCTGTTTCCTCACCAGAAAAATCGAACGAGGAAAATGGCCACTCCTCGGGGCTGTTATGAGGAGTGGAGATGAGGGATGTGGAGCCCAAATGCCTTTCAGCCGGATCTTTCAAGGAAACAGAGGCGTGCGGGCAGCACCTTCCCACCACCAGCCCACATGCTACTAACAGGCAAGTCTGGGTTTCAGTCAACTCAGCCTAAATTCCAGGCCAATATTTTAAAAGTGGGAATGAGGTTTGGGAACAGATTTCCAAAGACTTCCTACAGGGCCCTGCATTTGCACATGAACCTCTTCTCAGTAAATACTGACTTCCCCAGCCCCTCAGATTCCTGGGAGATCAGATGGTCTGTCTAATGCTGCAGTTGTATCTTTGAAGGAAAGCAAGTCTCTATATTTAAACTAAAATTATCCTTAGCTCACAAGCAGGAACTTCAAGGTCCTTTTTTATAGCATGAATAAATCTGCGTTATATAGAGCAATTTTATGATTCATACCAGGTTTGTGGGTTATCAGAGGTGGGCATACCTGTCTCTTCCCTGAACATGGCTTTGCCTTGAAGTGACACATAACCAGTATCCATACACGCAGTAAGCACAGGTAGCCAGTGTGATTTATTTGATTTCCTTTCTGCTGGGCACAGGAAGCTCTCACAAGGCTAGGGTTCAAGCTGGCTTCCATAGAGGGCAGTCATGTGCACATGGGCCTGATCCCAGCCCCAGGTCAGATCCTGATCCCTGGTCCTCAGGTGCTTTCTACTCAGGCTTGAGGCAGGTGTCTGGTGGCATCAGCTCCCGAGAGCCCTTGCCGATGCCTGGCTCCATCCAGAGCCAGCCCCGTCGGGAGGAGCCCAGCCCAGGAAGGCTTCCCGGGGCAAGCGCCAGGTGGCTGACTCAGCAGCAGCCATGGGGCTGGAGTGCCTTCCTGATGCCAGTGGCCAGTGCTTGTGGCGTGGGGCTCTCTGCAGTGCAGCTTACAGGCAGGCCCTGGGCGGCCAGCGCGCGAGCCGTAGTGGGGCCGATGGCTGCAAACTGTGAAGACAGAAGAGAGAACAGGGCTTTAGCACACCAGCGGGGGTGGGGGCGGCAGGTGGCTGGATGTGTGCAGGGGCCATCAGCCAGCCTTTCGGTTGGACGTCACTCCTCATGTGACGCGTTTATATAAATGATAACACCACCTGATTTGAGCCCAGATTCTGAGCCTGCAAAATACCTCTGAATCCACACTCTCATCACAGCCTCTCTGCTACCCTGAGTGAGAGCATGCCATTCCCAGGCTCAGGTGAGGGGCAGGGACATGAAGGCCCCGGGCTGGTGCTCGCCATCATGGCTGCATCAGTGCAGTCCTTCCTCAGAGGCTCAAGCTGCAGACAGTTCTGCTTCTGGTGTTGGGGTTTCTGGGTCTGATCAAGAGGAGGTGGGTGTATCGGGGCAGTGACTGAATCCCCAGGAAAGTGGAGCCATCAAGGTCAAGGCTCTGGGATCAATGGTTGAGACTTAAATTCCAGCTTCATAGGACAATGCCCTTGGCCTGTGGGTCCACTCTCTCTGGCCTCCATCTCCTTATCCATGAACAGAAAAGATAACAGGACTCTTCGCTGGGCTGCTGTGGGGATTAAATGAGGTAACAGGTGTGAACCACTTGGCTTGGCCCAGAGATAAGCTGGATGACCGTCATGGGCTTCTTCCTATGCTGTTGTGATCCTTCCAAATCAGCTGTCCAGGGCACTGGCCTCATCCACAGGACACCTCTCTCTGAACAAGCACCATGGGCTCGATGGTTCTGTGCAGAGCCTTGCCTGGATGCAGCACTGCTTCTGTCCTGGCTCTGCCCCTGCTAGCTGTTATTAGTGCAAGTCCCTTAGGCTCTCTGATCCTCACCTATAAAAGGAGCATAGTTACCTTGGCCTTGGAGGGCTAGAGTGGGGGTTAAATGAGAGAATGTCCTCATCCCCTACTCTCCTCTGGATTGAGACTGTGGACTCTCAACCTGTTTGGGAGCAAGGGAGCATCTGACACTGGCAGCCCCTGCCCAGCACTCTGCTTCATCCCTCCTCACTCCTGGCAAGTGGGCAGCAGGCCGGGTGGTAGTAGAGTTAACAAACCGCCTGTCCCTCTGCGTAACCTTGGATGCTGTGGGCCTGAGGATCCTTCCTCTGGCTGAGTCAGAATGAGGGAAGGGAGACCACTGTCCCGCAGAGGTCCTGCTCCCACCCTGCCCACAGTACTGCCCTGCTAAGCATCCACTGCTTAGGAAACTCCCCGAGGAAAAAATGGAGTTGGACCCCTACCTCACACAACATACAAAAATCAATTCAAAACAGATCAAATACCTAAGTTCCAAGCTAAAAGTATAAAATTCCTAGAAGGAAACCGGAGTAAATCTTCAAAACACTGAATTAAAGCAACAGTTTCTCGGTTACAACACCCAAAGCACAAGTAACAAAAGAAAAAGCTGAACTTTATCAAAATTGAAAACCTTTTGTGCTTCAAAAAAAATCATCAGAAAAGTGAAGACAACTCACAGAATGGGGAGAACATTTTTACAAAACATACGTCGGATGAAAAATTTGTATTCAGAGGCCAGGCACACTGGCTCACGCCTGTAATTCCAGCACTTTGGGAGGCTGAGGCAGGCGGATCACCCGAGATTGGGATTTTGAGATCAGCCTGGGCAACATGGTGAAACCCCATCTCTACTAAAAATACAAAAATTAGCCTGGTGTGGTGGCACATGCCTATAATCCCAGATACTCGGGAGGCTGAGGCAGAAGAATTGCTTGAACTGGGGAGGTGGAGGTTGCATTGAGCCAAGATTGTGCCACTGCACTCCAGCCTGGGCAATGAGAGCAAACTGTCTCAAAAAACATTTTTTTTTGTATTCCGAGGCCAGGCGCAGTGGCTTACGCCTGTAATTCCAGCACTTTGGGAGGCTGAGGCAGGCGGATCATCTGAGGTCAGGAGTTTGAGACCAGCTTCCAACACGGTGAAACTCCATCTCTACTAAAAATACAAAAATTAGCCAGGCCTGGTGGCATTCATCTGTAATCCCAGCTATTCAGGAGGCTGAGGCAGGAGAATAGCTCAAACCCAGGAGGCAAAGGTTGCAGCAAGGCGAGACTGCATCACGGCACTCCAGCCTTGGTGACAGAGCGGAACACCATCTCAAAAAAAGAAATTTGTAATCAGAATAAGAAATTCTGCCAATTCAACAAATAACCTGGGTTAAAAGTGGGCAAAGGATTTGGATAGATATTTCTTTAAAGAAGATATAAAAATGACCAACAAATGTAAAAAGATGCTCAACATTGTTAGTCATTAGGGAAATCTAAATCAAATCCATGCTGAGAAACTACTTCAGACCCACTAGGATGGCTATAATCACAGAGACAGAACAATATGGATACAGAGGATACGGGGAAACTGGAACCCTCATACCTTGCTGGTGACAATGCAAAATGGCACAACCACTTTGGAAAACAGCAGTAATTTGACAAATGTTAAACAAAGTTACCTTAGATCTAGTAAATCTACTCCTAAATATATACTCAAGAGAAATGAAAACATATGTCCACACAGAAAATTGTATTTGGATGGTCAGCATTATTTAATGGCCTGAAAGTGAAAATCCAAATGTCCATCAACTAATGAATGGATACATGAAAACGTCTTCAGAATGGACTATTATTTGGCAATAAAAAGGGATGAAGTACTGGTATACCTGCTACAACATGGATGAACCTTGGAAACATTATACTAGTGAAAAAAGTCAGTTACAAAAGACCACATACTGTATGATTCTATTAACATGAGATGTCCAGAATAGAGAAATCCATGGAGATGGAAAGTATCTGAGTGGTTGCCAAGGAGTAGGGGGAATGAGGGAATGAGGGGTGGCTGCGAATGGGTTCCGGGTTTCTCTTTGGGGTGGTGAGGTGTTCTGGAACTAGACAGTGGTGATGGTTGCACAAATCTGTGACTTTCCTAAACATCATGTTAAAGTTGACATATTGGGCTGGGCATGGTGGCTCACACCTGTAATCCCTACATTTTGGGAGGCCAAGGCAGGAAGACTGCTTGAGGCCAGAAGTTTGAGATCAGCCTGAGCAATACAGTGAGACCCCATCTCTGCAAAAAGTTAAAAAAATTTTTTTGTTTACATATTAAAATCATAAAAAGTAAATTTTATGGTTTAATTACATCTCAATAAAGCTATTTAAAAATTTGAAAAAAGAAACTCCAAGGGACTAGGAACCAGCAAATGGTGAACATGACTATACTGCTAAGGCAGGGTTATCAACAGTTTGGTGAAATGGTGGCTTTTTCTTTTTCTTTCTTTTTTTTTTTTTCTTTTGAGACAGAGTTTCGCTCTTGTTACCCAGGCTGGAGTGCAATGGCGCGATCTTGGCTCACTGCAACCTCTGCCTCCTGGGTTCAGGCAATTCTCCTGCCTCAGCCTCCCAAGTAGCCGGGGTTACAGGCACGTGCCACCGTGCCCAGCTACATTTTTTGTATCTTTAGTAGAGACGGGGTTTCACCATGTTGACCGGGATGGTCTCGATCTGTTGACCTCGTGAGAAATGGTGGCCTTTTCACATGTTGGGCCCCCTGACCTAGGCTGGGGAAGACTGTACTGCTCTGTGGGGCACCATCCTGTGAGCATTCATTGACAGAGAGGAGCGAAAGGCTCCTGTGAAATGGTGGCTTTTTCACAGGAGCCTTTCACTCCTCTCTGTCAATGAATGCTCACAGGATGGTGCCCCACAGAGCAGTACAGTCTTCCCAGGCTAGGCCAGGGGGCCCAACATCAACGCTCTTCTGCTACCCCGGCACCAACTGGACTGAGTGCACCAGCCTGGCTGTGGGGGCAGCAGCCACGTTCATAGCCCGGCTCTGCCACTGTGGCTAGTGACTGCTAGGTGAAGATGCCCACCTCACAGGCTGCATGGGCATTTTCCTGTACACAGGAAATTCAGTTGCTGCCATTAGTTTAGTGCTGGTTATTATGCATCTGTTTACCTACTGCTCTGGAGTGAGGTCTCTGCCAACTATAGACATGTGCATGGTCTTCCCAAGACAATGGTAAGTAGGAAGTTCAGGTCAGAAGTCACCCCCTTTGATTTTTTGTGACACACCTGCATGTGGTGCAGTGCTATACAAACAGTGAGTCCTACAAAGACTCCTGGGGAGGGAGGCCACCAGCAAATCTGGGGCCAAACTGAGAGAGAAAAGCTTAACTACCAACTCACAGGCTAGGACTGTGTCCTCTGTGAACCTTGAAAGCACCTCACTAGCCAGCACTAAGTCCCAGTGACAAGGGGCGACTCACACCCGACATACAGTGCCATCATGGCCCCCAACCAGTCCACAATCACTGTGAGGAAGGCCACTCTGTCAATTTCTCCTCCCCAGCATGGCAGAGGCACTCAATACTGACAGGTAGGGTAATCACTGTAGTAAGAGGCGAGGGGGCTACTGAGAGCCCGAGAGTGTCTGGAAGGCTGTAGAAATGGGCGTGACAGATATGGGATAGGGACATGCACTCAGTCCCCAGTTTCCAGGGGTGTGGATGATGCAGGCAGCAGTCTATTCAGAAAGGCTTGAGTTCTCGGTTCAGATGTTGAGTATCCACTTATGCTTTTAAACATGCTTGCTTTGAAAGAAGATAGAGTATAAATCTTTTGTTCTTCCTCTAGGCAAACACTAAGAAGCCTGGGGAAAACTGTGATAGGCTTACACCACCAGTATCTCACAGCACCATGAGACTTGGGGAGCTCCTCCCATAGGTCCAGGAGAGAGGCAGCATGACACAGAGGGACAAAAACCAGAGCAGCGGCCAGGCGCAGTGGCTCATGCCTGTAATCCCAGCACTTTGGGAGGCTGAGGTGGGCAGATCATGAGGTCAAGAGATGGAAACCAACCTGGACAACATGGTGAAAACCCCATCCCTACTAAAAGTACAAAAAAATTAGCTGGGCGTTGTGGTGCACGCCTATAGTCCCAGCTACTCAGGAGGCTGAGGCAGGAGAATGCTTGAACCCAGGAGGTGGAGATTGCAGTGACCCAAGATCGCACCACTGCGCTACAGCCTGGGCGACAGTGCCAGACTCTGTCTCAAAAAAAAAAAAAAAAAAAAAAAAAAAACCAGAGCAGCACCAGCACCATTACCCATCCGGACCTGCAATATGAAGTCAGTGCTCACTATGGGCCAGTTACCATAGTACGCATTTTATGGGTCCTACCTCTTTAATCTTTCTAACCGCAAGATTCAGATATTGTTTTTCTTCCTCAGTGGCCCATGTGAGTCTTGGGCCTTCCAGTAACTCACCACATGGCAAGCTGTTTAACCTGTCTGGGCCTCAGTGTCCTCACCTGTAATGAGGACCACTGCTCTATTTTCTGGATACTCACCCCTAGAATGGTATGAGAATTACATGAATTACTGCCCATAAGTGCATCAACTGCTCGGCAGCCCCTGAGACCACGGCAAGGCATCACCAGGGCTGACAATGTGGAATGAGTCTTCCGAGGTTCTAATCACGGCTCTTCCTTCTCAGCAGTGTGACCTATAGGCAGGACACAAGATGTCTCAGAGCCCAATGCTCCATCTTTAAAGCCAGAAAAGCGGTGCATACTCCTCATGTGAGATGCACCTGTGGAAAGGCAGGTGAAGCCTTCTGCTCTTCCTCATTGCAGAAAGTGGCAGTTTCTGTCCTTGGGTTCTGGGTCATATCCTACACCCTCTCCTCAGTCCCTCTGGAGCCAGTTCAAGGGTATTTCTATTACAGACACCACAAGAGTTGTGGTTATTTGTCGACTCATTATGAATACAGTCCCTAATAGATGTGAATGTAAACCCTTTAAAAGACACGAAAAAAAGGTGACTGCTTTTAGAATACACGATAATGGCAAACACAAGATGGGGGAATGGAAGGAAAGGATGTTAACACCTGTTCCAAGTCCTGAGCTAAGTAAGGACTTTACTCGAATTCCCTCATGTAATTCTGAGACTCATCCTATGCAGGGAAGACCATACACATGTCTGTGAAGGCCACAGAGAGACAATTATCCCCATGCTGCAAGTGAGGAAACGGGCCGGGAGAGGGTGAGCAATCTGTGCAACAGCCCAGCAGGAAGTAGAGCTGCCCTTCCAATTCTAGGGCACCTGCTAGGTCAGGGGTGTCTCACTTGACATTGAAGCCCTAGGATAATTCATGAAGGAAAAAAAAACTAATATGAAAAAGACCAAAAGCCCATTGAATAACTTACCTTAATTTGATCGATATTGTCACCAGATAACTCCTGAATGTGCTTGAGACTGTATGTAAGGCCAGAGGGACTGAAAAATGTGATGCTGGCTGGAACCCCCTGTGGAGAAGAGAAAACAAGATCAGTCCTTGCCATGAGACCAAGGAGAGATAACATTCCTCCAGCTTCATCAGCATCAAGGCCATCCAGGCAATTTTACCACAGGAGGGGTTCCTGGTTGATGCTGGGACCCTCTGTTCCAGTGAGGCAGAATTCTGGTAAGGAACTGTTGAAAAGAGCAGGCTGCCATCAGAAAGCTGGTGCTGCTCCTTGGCCACTCTGCTGGCCCCCAGGTCTGTGTCTGCCTGGCCAGAGGACATGGGCATCACAGAGCTCATGTGCCCAGCACCCCAGACAATGCCTCTAGCTCCTGTGGTCACATGGCACTGATCACATGAGGCAGCAATGTGAGGCAGTGCTGGCTCCGTCAATGCTCCCTCCCTCCGGAAGTAGAGCAAGCAGATGAGCTGGCCTGGCCTTTGTGCACTTGGTTAGTCTTATCAGGCCCTCCCAATACCAGGCAAGGCATTCAGAAGCCTGCCCTGAGAGGAAAGGGAGGTGTTTCAACTGCATATAAATGCTTACGACGTCAAGGAACTCCAGCAAGAGCTATCCATTCTCCTGCCTGAGTCCTCCATCAGTCCCCATGGACTCCCAAATTCAACCCGACTCCTCAGTGGCCACTGTCAGCTCTTCCTACTATGGGCCCAGCCTCCCTTTTCAGCCTCTGCCCCTCCAGTTCCACCAGCACCTCCATATGATGAAGAACAATGATAACATCAAGGCCACTATTTACCCCAGGCTTGTATGTATCTTGGATGCTGTACAAAAGCTTTGCACAAATTATCTCCTTTAACCCCTATAAAAACTTACCACTTCCTCAAAGTTACCACATTAATCTCTCCAAACAGGGAGGTTTCATAAACCACCTACCACAAGCACCTCTTTTTGAAATCGCTGATTTCAAACCAGCTTGCAATAGACATTTTATGAAACAACCACAAAATTGTTGCCACTCCTAATTCTAGAATCCCAGACCAACTATGCAGAAAAAGGCATGCAGGGGACAGCTAGGGACGGTGAAACCACATGTAGAACCAATATCTGTGAGCTTATACCCTCACCCTGGGCTTCCCCAACCTGGATGTCCATCCTGCCAGAGCTCTCCCCCAAAACACCACATACCTGCTGGGAATAGTAGCTGTTCAGGTTCCCTTGGATTCCTGGGTGTGGAATTGTCTGATACACAGTTATGCTTTCCATGGCAATCCCTGGGCACAATCAAAACCAGGAAAGTCTTTACCGCACTGGGCACACAATGGGGCCTCTGTCACCTCACAGCACAGTTGGTGAAACCTCCCAATACAGCACTCCCCTCCTGGAACCAGATGCTTGGAAGCTGAGAGGCCAGACTCCTTAGAGAGGCCTCGAACAGCCCTCTGCAGCCTGCTGAACCCTGTGGAGTGGCTGCCGTGGCAGAGGAGGCCGAGACAGCAGAAAAAGAACAAAGGCTCAGAAACCAAAGCCTTTGTTTATACCCAGAATGCCTTTTGTTCCCAGGCTTATGTGGATTTGTCCATACAAGGCTGTCCCTAGTTACTCCATCCATCCCACACAGACAGGCTGCATGACACCAGCAAGTGTGGGCAAGGGCAGCTCTCGGGAGAGGCCCAGAGTCCAGATCCCTGGCTGCATTCTCGCTGTGCCTCCACGTGCCCATGCGCCCCCTCTCTGGGCCTCAGGGTGTCCACTTGGAGACAAACTGATTAAGCTGTGGACGTTCCCACATTCCTCCCTGTGCCATTCAGTGACATTGAACATTCCCAGGGCTGATGATGAGGCATGAGGCATTAAAGGGACTAGTGCAATTTCAGTCAGATATAGATTTACGAGGGGCAGTCAGACAGCAGGTGAAAAGTAGTAAAAACTCAGGCTTCTGAAAATAAAATGGGAAATTCTCTCAGAAAAAATTATTATAATTTTAGCAAAAAACAGCAAACTATCACCATTTCATGTCCCCCAAAACTAAAGAAATAAATGGAAGTATCAAACCTCTGATTTATATATAATTTATTTAAGGGTACCTGAGGCCAAGCTTCCTCTTATTTTATCCTGGTATTTTCTATTCCTGAAAAGCTAATTGATTTTGCTGATCTTATTACCTAATGTCCTCTGCTTTTATTCTTGGCAGCCTTTAGAAGACAGATGATATGGGTAGAAGGGATATGATCCAGCTCCATTTTAATACAGGAGGGAAAGTGACAAGGTCTAAGGTTGTCCTGGGTCTCACTATTCAGGTGTTATGGAACTGTTAGAGTTGCAAAATACTGGGAGAGATGGTAACAGACACAGTCCCACGAAGAGCTTGCCTTTGGAGAACAAGGCGTCATGCTACATGATCTCTGAACACCTCTGTGAGCAGGTACTATGGTGATGCACAGATAAGGATGCTGATCACAGAGAGATTACTTCACTTACCTTCATTAACATAGCTAATAAACAGCGAGAGGGAGAATTCAAATCTGTTTTTATCTCACCCTAACGTTGGTACTCCACACTGCCAATACACCTTGCTCCCAGACCAACTATGTGACAGCAAAAGATACGCAGGTGACAGCTAAGACATCTGAGTTAATGACGGCAGCATGCTTCAGAGGCAAGAGCTGGTTTCTAGATACAGACAGTCTTGGGAGCCACAGCAGGTGGGGGTGGAGGGGCAGGTGGGGTTGTGTGGCTCGGCTGGAGGGTGTGCACGCTATTATAAGATCAGCTAAATTTGTAGACTTTCTTCTACATGTGAAACCAATTCTATGGTTCATCACCTCAGTTATCTGCCCAGGGGCCACCTCCACACCTCAGTCTCCTGTCCTCTTGGTGAAGGACTAGAGACACACTGTGTGCTCCTAGCTTGAGCCAAGTGAGGTGAGAAGAGCAGATCCAAAGAAAGGAAAGTGCAGACTGCGCATCTATACTTCACGTGAGGATGGTCCCTGCATCCCTTGGCCTGGCATATCCAACCCAGGCCTGCTCTCCCTTGTATGCTCTCTACAGGGCTATCCACTTCCATCACTGCAAAGGCTCTTGCTGGAGCCTACCCAAAGTGGTTAGGGATGAAGTCAAAGCATTCAAAGCTCACCTTTGTCCTTGAGCGTTTTCGGCAGGATTTCTCTTTTGAGGTTTCCACAGGGAAACAGAAGAGGCAGTGCTGAGGACTCCCCTGTGAATAAATAACCAGACTTTGTGAAAACTCAGGGGCAGTGCTTGTGCACAGGGGAATGGGGAGGAGGAAGCCCCAGGCTCCAGGCCTGGCTCACTTCTAGGACTCAGTTCCAGCATCTGTAAACAGGAAGAGCACCTGCTACCTTGCTGAACTTGAAGGGCTATTACATGAAGATCGTGAGAGGTAATATGTGTGAAGGTGCTCAGAAAATGAACATCCACATAAACAAGTTAGCCACACTCTTAATTCCCTCTAACACTAAAGTGACTCCCTCGCCTGCAGTCACTATTTAGAAGGCAGGCTTTGCACCTTAACCAAGCCAGGCAGGTAAAGCTCAGGCCTAGTGTTGGCACTGCAGCAAACATTTTCTGCCCTGAAGAGGCCCTGGCTGAGTCAGGGACTGCAGCAGCGGACTGGCAGCCAGGAGTGGCTCTGCAGCCACCCCAAACAAAGACAAGCTCACTGCCCACTCCTCTTTCAGCCACACCAGCAGCCACTAGGCCAAGTGCTAAATGGCAGATGTGCAGGCCTTAGAGAGAGAAGCCTGCTAAGAACAGCCCTGCCTCTTCTCTCACCACTGTCTCTGCTCCCAGCAGCTCATCTCTGGGAAGACTTATGGGCATTTTCAGCCCTAAACTCTGCAGAATAGTGAGGACAGCATAGGATTTGAACACCAATTTGCAACAGTACTGCCCAACAAAACTGGTATTGTCAAATGCCAGAATCTTCCCCAATTGTGAAAACAAAGCATTTTAGTAGAACCAGTCATTTTCCCCACATCATCCATAAAGAAATTCTAATGGGCATTGTTCGTACACATTGTATATTTTCCCACATCCTTATGGTCTCCCGGAACACATATTCTCTGGTGACTGCAATGAGAGGAAGGAGCAAAACCACCTCTTTCCATCCAGCATCATCTCTACCAAGCAGCAGTCAAACAACAGGAACAACTGCAGGCCACTTAATTTCAAGTGTATAAAGGCTACATACTGGTCAATATTTTCTCTATTTAAACTGCTGTGTAAATATCAGTGACAACATAAAAGAAAATAATGAATTGGGAGATTGTTAAATGTAGTTAATAGATGCCTGCTGATTTCTCTTTTCCAGTGTGAGGAAATGTCTGCATGCTCTGTAGAGTCATCCCTAGAGATGTATTTTCAAAGCCATGTTCAGGTGGGATTTTTCTTCTCTGTGTCTCTGTGTGTGCTTAGGAGTGCTGGCTGGAGGACGTTAGGGGCCAAAGCTCTTCGTGGGGATCCAGTAAGAAAACTAGAGTCCAGTTTTCCAGCAAGCCCAGCCCCATGGGCGAGCAAAGGCCTTGGAAAGATTCGGGAATCTCCCCTTGGCAGCACCTCTTGTGAGGGTCCAGTGGAGCTGCTCTTTCTTATCTCTGACTCACAAGGCTGGGCTGAAGGGGTGCGCCCTCCCTGAAGGCAGCTGTTTGTCTCTATCCACCACCTGTGCCTTGCAGAGAGCTTGGCTCTGCAGGCACACAGGGCCCACAAATGACCAACCAGCTCAGCTGACTTCACTGAAAAGGCACCACCCTGTCAGCAGAAAGGAGAAAAACTTAAAAATGTCCTGGCTGAGTCCTCCTTTGCTGCTGAGGGGAGATCTACAACTACATTCCCTGAAAACTAACCCCCTTCAAAAAGCCAAAGACAAAGGAGTCCTTCCCTTTTGGAATATGCGTACTGCCTGTGGATTTATCTTCAGCCCCAAAAGGCCAAAGGAATGGTTAAAGCTGACACAAAAATAGTGAATCGTGGAGCTCAAAGGCTCTGCTTTCCATTAGTTTAACAGGAAGGAGGCCTCAATTCTGGGCTGTCAGGATTGATGATGAGTAACAGTGATGAAAATCCTGAGTATTATCATTAGGCAGCTCAGGAGGGGGCTTGATAAAGTCACTGCAGGTAATCAAGAAAATGATGATACAGGCAGGAGGCAGCCAAATGCCTAGGGAGATAGGGAAGGGTCCAGGGGAAGGAGATAGGGAAGGGTCAAGCCTAAAATAGCCTGAAGGCTTAAAGATCAGACTGCTGGCTCCAAATGCAACCTGGGACCCAGGGGGAGAACATCTAACCATTTGTCTGCCCTTTCCCAACTGATTCTTTCAGAATAATGCGCTTTAACCCATCGAATGTTGCCTTTTCCAATACTACCTGTGGCTTGCCTGGGCATCCTCATGCGCACTAGGGGAATGGGGTGGGGCCGCCAGGAATTCACGCCTTACGCAAAGGAGGGGCCTGGCCTCATCAGCTCATGTGTGGTACCCCCGGTATTCAATCATGAGGGAGAAACCTGATTGGAGAACCCCTCTCTTTGAGAGCCCCTTCCTTTCATCCTTCTTTTCTTCTCTCTCTCTCTCTCTCTCTCTCTCTCTCTCTCGCTCTCGCTCTCGCTCTCGCTCTCTCGCTCTTTCACTCAGGCTAGAGTGCAGTGGTGCAATCTTTGCTCACTGCAACCTCCTCCTCCCAGGCTCATACAATTCTCCTGCCTCAGCCTCCCGAGTAGCTGGGATTACAGGTGCCCACCACCATGCCCAGCTAATTTTTATATTTTTAATAGAGATGGGATTTCGCCTTGTTAGCCAGACTGGTCTTGAACTCCTGACCTCAGGCAATCTGTCCGCCTAGGCCTCCCAAAATGCTGGGATTACAGGCATGAGCCACCATGCCCTGCTGAGAGCTTTCCTTTCTCTTAATAAATTCAGCCCTTCTCACCCTCCAATGTGTCCACATGTCTAATTTTTCCTGGTCATGAGACAAGAACCCAGATTTAGCTGAATTATGGAGCAAAAAGTCCTGCATCAATGAGACTGACTTTAAAATGTCATCTTACTGCAGGACATGCACATGTCTGTGAAACAGTAACAACTTCCAGGTTTAAAATGACTTCCCTCTGAGCACTGTCACGAGAATCAGTTCGAGCAGTCAGTGGATGCCTGATTGCCGATAATGAGGATGATCGGAGGAACGGAAAAGCCGGGCACGTCTGCCAGGCTGCAGAAATTCTCCCAGTCTAGGAGGACATTGCAAATAAACTGTAGTCCAATCTTTCTGCCCTACCTTGTTTCTCTCTCTTTTCAAAAGTTACACTGTAGTCTACCTCTTAACATTTAGTGTGTAATTACTTTCCCATTAGAGGATATATTCAGGGAAGAAGGAGAATCTATCAGAACAATGAGTTATCAGATTAAATAAGTTAATAGCTTTAAGTACTTACAATAGTTTCTGTCACAAAGTAGTGTTAACTAAAATAAACAGGCATAGCTATGAATTGGCCTGTTTGCTGCATTGGAGATGAATTTTTAGCTTTTAAAATCAGGCTTCAAAGTTTGCTGAGAAAGAAAAATCATTAATGCCTTGGTAAAGCCATGGTGAAGGTCGTTATTAGCAGTCAACATGGATTTTTATTTGGGTATTCTAATTGCAAATGGAAGATTTATTAAGATCCATAGACATGCTGGTAATAAATTAGAGGAAATAGCAGAGGCTTTGCAAAGAATGCAGACCAGTATTCTCCCAGTTAAGGTCAGAATATGTTAATATCTATCCAGCCAAGCCTTGAGTCAGTTAATTGAAACACCAATGTGATCACTCAAAAGTGACATTGATCTCTTCTGCCTTGTGTTTGCAAAGCAGGGGACACCAGCCTGATGATTCTGGGTCTTCTAATGAACAGTGACTCAGACGGTTCACTTCCGTCTCCTTCCAGAACAAACTGTGGGTACAGCTCCATCTCTTCACTGAAAACAGGCAGGAACCACCTATTCTATTAAGGAGCTAACTGTTGGCCCACCCATAGAATAATTATTATTCTTTGTAGATCCTGACACTTAATTCCGCAAACAGTGTCCATATCTACCATTTACATTTATTTCTACATTTTAGAAAGAAGGGCTTCGATACTATTGACTGCTGTGATGACTCGCCAGAAACAACATTACGAACAAAAAGCCTGGGGCCAGACTGTTCCTGACCTATCTGCATCCTGTACCAGGAGCCCCTGGAGTGAACCCTCCACACGGATGTGCAGCTACACGACCTGAGAAGCCATCCCTCAGGGCTGGGGTCATGTGGTGCAGGGCCCAACCAGTGCTCTCGGATCTGGACAGCTGGAACAACCGCCTGTGGATTCCCTGCAGCTGTTTCAACACCTGGCAGCACAAAAGAGAGTCACTGCCTATCTAGGCTGCTGTTAAAGAAAACGGCCCCCAGCAATCCATACTCTGGAACATTCCACAGAAAGCAACACAGTGGCCATCCGGCCTTTTCCCTTCAGCTAAAGAAAATGGCCCCCAGCAATCCATACTCTGGAACATTCTACAGAAAGCAACACAGTGGCCATCGGGCCTTTTCCCTTCAGCTAAAGAAAATGGCCCCCAGCAATCCATACTCTGGAACATTCCACAGAAAGCAACACAGTGGCCATCCGGCCTTTTCCCTTCAGCTGCTTAGCCTCAGATGCTCTTTGAAATGGCCTCCAGAGGGCTTCTCCACACTGGTGCATGGCGCATGGAAAGGCCTCTCCCAAGGGCCCAGCTGGGAACACCACGTGGCACAAGTGGCCAGAGAAGAACGGGGCCAACCACCTTTACCAGCAGCAAATGGTGAACACTCTCTACCACAGATTACAGTCTCCTGAACTGTACGTTTTTAGCTTGAAAATGTCTCACAGTGCTGGCTCATGAAATGTTCTAGAGAAAGCCTAGCAGGGATGATCTCTTTATATGGAGTCCAGGTAGAGAGGATAGGTCTGAGATGGCACAAACTCCAGTGTTGCAGACTGAGGCATCTGTGCGAGGATCTATGTGCTCCAGAGATAAGCTGAGGTCAGGGAGTCCCAGCAGACCTTTTCCCTTGGGGCTCAGGCTGGCCTCACCCTCAGGGCCTTTTCCCGTGTCTTGTCACCAAGGATGTGGCTAAACCCCAGACATCACCCCAATGATTCATCAGCACAAGGGCATGTCCAAATGCACAAATTAGTGGGATGAGCTCCTAGAACCCACTTTCTTCACTTCAAAAGATTCCATTGACTTCTTCACCTGCTGGAAGAGAACTGAGCATATTTTGGACTAAGTACCTTTTTAGAAGCACACACAACAAGGGAAACAAGAAGAGCTTTGGAGTCAGCTAGTCCTAGGCTTGAGCCCCCCCTAGCACTATTAGCTCTGTTCCTCTGGACAAGATTCCCTCTCTGAGCTCAGTTTCTTCATGAACAAAAGCAGTCTAGCAATCATCCCTGTGTCACAGCTTAACACAACATGTAAGGCAATTAGAGGCATGCACACAGTGCCAATGTATGTCAGACACGTACGAGGCACTCTAACTCCTTTATAATATTTCTGTTATGCCCCCAGAGCCTCCAGGACTCATGTGGAAGCTGCCTGCTGGCAAACCCCGGGGCACACTGAGCTGTAGCAGGTCCCTTCAAGGCAGGACTTGCCACTGCACCCCAGGCCCTGCTCTAGATTGTGATACCTCTGTAGGTTTTAAAAAAATGCTACTTAAGGGATAAATTTTAAGGGATATTCCTAAAAAGTCCCAGGAACAAGAGAACTGGGTCCTAATTCAGTGAGTACCTTTTGGGCCCAATCCTGGCCACAGCTAGTGATGCCCTCCCACTAAGAGGGAGCAGGCAGTGCTGTGTTCCTGCCCAGGCCTGGGGAGGACCACTCCAGCCTGAGTCTGACCCACCCGGGCGAACATTAAGGCCCAGTACCTCAGGGCTCCAGGTGACTCTCAAAGGCTACTCAGTGCTCCCCAGCTTGCCACCCACTGCCCCTGCCATGCCATACTCTCCAGGAAAAGCCCCTCCTTGCACATCTCTGCTCAGTGGCTCCCTGAGTGGGAGGGCTTGTCCATGGCTACTGTCTAAGGGAGGGCTTGCACTTCTCTGTGGAGAAGAGGCCATGGGTGTGCCTTTTTTTACAGACTTTCCTGAAGACCTCTGCCTTCTTTTGGACATCCTGCCATGACACTGTGATACAAGAGGAAATATTTGGTTTTCCTTCCTGTTCCTGGCATAGAACTTCTAAAACTCTTGGAATTTCCTGACAGAGGTAAGAGGAGCATCTTTTGTTATTCATAATAAATCCCTTTTAACAATACTGGAATTTATGCTAATGAGGTGACTGGCAGAGGTCCCTAGAGAGCTTCAGGATGGGGGCTGAAGGCCAGAGAGAACAATGTGATCATAGGGCTGGCGATAAGAGTTACTCACCAGGGGCCAATGACTTAATCAATGGTACCTACATAATTGAACCTCCATAAAAACCCTAAACTATGAGTTTAGAGAGCTTCTGGGTTGGTGAACACATCCACGTGCCAGGAGGGTGGGGCACCCCAACTTCACGGGGACAGAAGCTCCTGTGTACTCAGGACCCTTCTAGACCCTGCTGTTTGTACCTCTTCATGTGGCTATTCATCTGTGTCCTTATCTCCTTCATAAAAATCAGTACATGTAAGTGTTTCCGAGTTCTATGAGCCATTCTAGCAAATTACTGAACCTGGGTAGGGAGTCATAGGAACTCCTGATTTGTAGCCAACTTGGACAGAGGTCCCTTAGCATCCAATACTTGTATCTAAAGTGGGGGACAGTTTGCTAAGACTGAGCCCTGAAACTGTGGTGTCTGGGTTAATTGTGGGTAATGTCAGAATTAAGTTGTAGGACACCAGCTAGTATCTAGAACATTGGAGAATTGGTCGTTGGTGTGTGTGTGTGTGTGTGTGTGTGTGTGTGTGTAGCCCAGGCTGGAGTGCAATGGTGCAATCTTGGCTCAGGGCAACTTCCGCCTCCCAGGTTCCCATGATTCTCCTGACTCAGCCTCCTGAGTAGCTGAGATCACAGGCACACATCACCACACCCAGCTAATTTCTTATACTTTTAGTAGAGATGGGGTTTCAGTATGTTGGCCAGATTGGTCTCAAACTCGTGACCTCGTGATCCACCCACACTGGCCTCCAAAAGTGCTGGGATTATAGGCGTGACCCATCACGTCCAGCCAGAAACAGATATCTTAATAGTAGGTCCACTATATAAAAACTATTCATACCTCTTCTGGTCGCTTAACCCACCCTGCCTTATAATGGTTATTGATGTCTATGTTCCCCACCCCATCCACACCTCCAGCCCCAGCTAGGCTGGGCGCTTCCAGAAGGCAGAAATAGAGTCAAACTCCTCTTCAGCCCCAATGCCCTGCAAAGGCCTGGCACACAGGTGCTCCTGGGTAAACATCACGTTCTCCTGTGATGTGGGAAGGAACATGGGGAGGTGGGGCAAGAGAGGTGACAGTCAATGCTTTAATATCTGAAAGCCCTCTCTGAGCTGACGAATGCACATCCACTGAACCAAGGAGGGCACAGGCTCAGGATTGCCAAGGGGCTGAACCACTCTGGGACTACAGTTTATTCATCTCGGCAGCCAGAAAAGGCCAGTGTAGCTCCTCAAAACTGGAGGTTCCCTAAGCCTCTGCCCACCAGAATCAAGCACACTTAAGTCCTCGGCCCTGCAGAAGCCCCAGTCACTATGAATCAGAGTGGATGGAGGTGCTCGGTCAGCATCTCCCTGAGGACAGGTTGGCATGGAGCAGGTGGCAGTCAGGCCTCTGAATGTGATGCACCATGGGAGGAGCAGTGGCCTTGCTGTGTTGAGTGTAAACTCCAGCCTGCCACTTTATAGCTTGTGACCCTGGATAAGACTTGTCCCTTGGTCCCCCAAGAGCCTCTATAACAGCACAGTCAGAAAGAAATTTTGGTGATGATGAAAATGTTCTGTGCAGTCCAATTTGGTGCCATTGGCCACGTGACAACTGAGCTTGTGAAATGTGCCCAGTGTGACTGAAGAACTAAATTTTCAATTTTATTTAATTTTAATTAATTTACATTTACACTTAAATAGCCATATGTGGCTAGTGGCTACTGTACTGGACAGCACAGTTTGCAGTGGAGATGATTCTGACTTCATGGGGGTGATGGTGAAGATTAAATGGCATCCTACAGGCCAAGTGCCTAAGTATCTGAGACACCCTGGGCACTCAATAAATGCCCAGTGCGAACGCAGAATATACAGTGACTCAGGAAAGGTACGATGAGGTTATTTTAAAAAGAAATTGAAAAAGAAAAAAAAAGGAGAATTGGAGAACTTGGGAAGGATCCACTGAGCCCAGCAGTACCTCTGCTGTTCCCTGACTGCTCACTGCTGCCCCCAACCCACATGACTCTGTCGGGGTCCTAAATGGGCTTCAGGAATCCTCAGACCACAGTGTAGAAAAAGATGCAGGACCTTCTCCAGAACAAGCTCCCAGTAACACAAAAAATATAAGCTAGAGAAGCTTCAGGCAACAGTAACGACTTATGGCAGGAAGACTTGAAAGACTTTAGTGTACAAGTTTGCTTATTAGAAAGGCCAACATCACCTTTAGGAGTACTTTTTTATAACGCAAATACTTTGTTTTGCCAGAAACAAAACCGTCCATCACTGTTTCAGAAGCCATCAAAAGACCTATTTAAGGTGTTCTCTCTCCCTATACCACCCATCCTGAGCGCAGCACCTCGGGGCCGAGGAATATACCTGTCTCCTGGGACCACCTTAGTGGAAAATCTCAGCTGTCAGCAGTTCATCTGACCCCAGCCTTGCAGCTCAGCAGACACTCAAGCAATTCTAGAGAGGGGTCAGAAAACTACAGCCTGAGGTCAAAGCCAAGCCCACTGTTTGTGTATTGTCTATGGCTACTCTTATGCTTCCATTGCAGAGAGTGTTCTGACAGAACATTTGCCTGTGAAGCCTAAAATATCCTTAACAGATGAAGTTTGTGGGCCCCTGATATCTAGGAAGGCCTGGATTTCCTTCTCTTCAGCAATTTAAGGCAAGTTGATTCTACTTTGTGCTTTCATGGGGGTGTATGATCTCACACCTACAGCAGGGAAGAGTCAAATGACAAGGGTGTAAGAGCTTGCAGTTGAAATGGACATGCAGGGAAGAGAGGGGAACGGAGATGCACCTTAGAGGTGGGCCTACCCTACAAGCAGAACTTCAGCTTTCCCATCCCTCTTGCTTCAAGAATTTTTGCCTATGTATCTTCTGAAGCCTAAAATTCCATAATTAATTTAAGACTAAGTCACCATTTAAATATGAATACCCCCAGAACAACTGCCATTTTAAGTCCAGTCCACATGCAGCCCAATCATGAGTCAGCTCTTTACCTAGGAGCAAGCCAGGGGAGGGAATTCAGAGAAGGAAGTACCTCCCGAGAAGGGAAAGGACAGTACTCGGGAAGGGGAGAGCACCCACTCACACCTCCTGCCTCTGCTCTCTTTGGAATCCCTCAAGTGATCTCCCCTCTGGTTTTATCTCCCAAATGTTTTATTTTGTGTTATGTTCAAATCAAGTTCTTTGGTATAGGGAGTAGAAGGAAGTGGGTTAAACCTCATGCAAGTATAAACATACACAAATACAAGTAGGCTACAGACCCAGAGTGAGTTACACGTTGCTCACCAATCAATCTCACCACCAAGAATGCATGGAGGAAATATTCTGTTCCCTAGGTAGTAGTTGTGAGGTCAAACAAAAAATAAATGGGCTTCATTTTGAGTGATCTTTTTCTACTTACTGGAACAAATATATTCTGCAAGCTTTTCTGCATTTCCACAGGTTTCTCCTTCCGTATCCAGGCCAATTTTACTCACTGGAAAAACAGCAAAGAAATGTATTTCTTTACATGGTTATTGAAGTACTTTTGTTCCAGCATTATTTTTTAATGTGCAAATACACAAATATGCACTTTACATATCACACTGAGAATGTCTTTTCTTGAAAGCCCCTAATGGAAGATTGCACTTGATCTTAGCCAAAAGGCCGAGAAGCGATGGAAGATTGCAAGAAGACAAGAAAGCATCAGGCCCTGGTACCTGCACCTCCAGATGTATAGATTGGGTAAGGCATTAACTGGCTTCCCTGAGCCCCATGTAGCTCATCTACAAGGGAGGAGAACACCAACCACATGGAACTGTTTTAAGGATCATGCCAGATAATAAGAGCAAACTGCTTGCCAACTAGGAGGAGCTCAACAAAGGCTGTTTCCTATTTAGCCAGGAAGGAGATGATGACCAAGTTGGGACTTTTTGCAGGAATCTGCCTGACAGAGCCTTCATTTTGTTGGGGAGATGTGGTCAGACCACATTCAGAAATGTGTCATGGCTTGACATGGCCAGAATAAAATGGAAGGAAGGGGAGGAAAGGTTTCATAATAATCTGCTAACAGGGACCCACAACACTACAAATACAGGTCATTTAGGATGAGGGGCTATACCAGCACTTTCATGAGATCTGTATGCTACCAGACCCAGGCTCCCCCTGCACTTCTCTAGACAGCAAACACTTGGCCATTCTGCAAAGGGTGTTGATGAAGGAAGGTCCCAGGAGGCTGGCTCAATCAACACTGCTACCTGCTCACAGGAATGCAGAATGCCTCAAGGAAGGAAGTGCCGTGGGCAGTCCACTTAGGAGTCACACGAGAGGCTAGTTAGTAACAAATGGCAGCTTTATTAAAAACACCAGCAGCTTTTAACTTATGGATCACTGAAACCACGCTGAATCAAAGAAAAAAAATGTCACATATGACTGTAAACCCAGTTCAGGAACGAAGCCCTTGCTTATGCTGCGTTGGCAACCTAGGCTGGAGCAAACAAACAAAACCTGTAAAAACCCCACAGGAACTGAACTGAGACATGAGAACTTAGTAGTGTGCTGATAATCAATATTGACATGAATATGCATTTTTCCCAAGTAATGAAACAATAATAACCATAACCAGAACATTAACTCTCACAGACAGCTTTGCTGATCCCAAGGTGAGCACCTGCTCATTTGATCCTTACACCACAATTCTGTGAGAAAAACAATTCCTACTGTACTTGAGAAAGAAGGAAGCTAGTAAGCAGTAGCCAGCTCTATTCGTGAGGGCAGGGACTGGGGCTACTTGGTCCACCCCACAGCCTACAGAAGGCTCTCAAGAAATGTCTGGTATAAGGTCCCAGTCCCTGAATGTGGCAAGACTGATTCTGCATGAAGTCAGTACAACATTTCAACCAATACTCTGGCTGGGCAAGCCCATCTTAAGGGCATTGCCTAAGTAAAAGCTGACAGTGAAACTTCAAATTGTCTACAACTGTGTTAAATAGACCTGCCAGAGAGTACTTCTTACATTTCAGAGGTTAAGACACTGACTGCCACAAAAGATCCAGTTTCCTGGGCTTCTGTCAACCTCTGGGGTGAAATTTCTTCTGGTTAATGCCTAAGCTGAAAAGGTGCCAATTAGTAAATCTGAAGGTAAAATAAAATCCTTAGTACAGACAAATCAATAAGAAAAAAATGATATTTGAAGACATTAACAAGTGTATGAATAAGATGATTTCGGTGAAGTCTTTCCAGAACTAATGGGAAAACATGGCAATTAACAAATATATATGGCCTTAACATGGTAAAAACATCTGCAGGCATATACAGCGGGGCAGGCTGGCTTTGGGAAAATGCAGTTGTAGATTTAAACAATGGCTGTACCACTTTCAAAGTGTGTGACCTGGCAAATCACACCCTCTCTTTGGCTCAGTTTGAGTTTTTAAATCAGAAAAATGGGCTTACTAACACCTTTCTTAATGAAAAAAAAGAAATTACATACATAAAATGCATAGCAAAGTGCCTGGTATATAACAGAGAGTCAAATATAGTAAATATCCTTGGATGATCATTTCTTCCAACAATGCAAACATGTATCTCATAATAAAAAATTGTTTTACAAATAATTTATTTATTTGCTTTTTTAATCTAATCTTTTTTTCAGACAGGGTCTCGCTCTGTTGCCCAGGCTGGAGTGCAGTGGTGCAATCTTGCCTCACCGCAGCCTCAACTTCCCAGGCTCTAGCAATCCTCCCAACTTAGCCTCCTGAGTTAAAGGAACTATAAGAATGAACAATTAAGTCTGGATAATTTTTGTTATTTTTGGTAGAGAAGAGATCTCACCATGTTGCCCAAGCTGGTAATAAAGAGTCTTTCTGTGCCCAAGTTGTTAATTGCTAAGCTATCTTCTGTGACATCACTGGCCTGGGTTTACAAGGCCAAGCAACAGTGGCTACTAAGTGGTGCCTAGGTCCAACCTTGCAATCAGATGGAAAATTTGGGGCATCTGACCTTTGGGCAGCCAAATGGAAGGCTTTCCTCTGATATGGCTGGCTGAGTTGCCAGGTATCAGCCCACAAGCCAACCATCTCTCCTTCTTCAATACAAATTAGCATGTTATTAAAGTATGCACATATTATCCAACCAAATAATGTTCTCAGGAGATTTTATGTAGTCCAAGTACAGTAAGTCCTTGTTTAATGTCAACAACAGATTCTTGGAAACTGTCACTGCAAGTGAAACAACATACAGCCCGTCCTTGAATAACATCATTTCATTCAACATGTTTTCATTACAACACTGAAGAGGAAAAAAAATTGGTTTCATTATACATCATTTCACTTGAAGTGGCAGTTTCCAAGAAGCTATCAACAATGTTAAGTGAGGACTTACTGTACAATGTTACATAGCATGTATTTTTTTTAATTATTTTTAAATAAATAGAGACAGGGTTTCACCATGTTGTCCAGGCTGATCTTGAACTGAGTTCAAATGATCTGCCTGCCTTAGGCTCCCAAAGTGCTAGGTTTACAGGCATGAGCCACTGCACCCAGCCAGCATGCACTTTTTTTTTGCCATCTATTATTAATCAATAATACCTGTAAAATTAGGCTGGTATAAAGAGTCTTGCAACATTTATAAAGAAATATAGGCATCTTCTCTCACTGGACTTCCATACCGAGATTCCTTGCTATTTGCTGGACCCTTGTTTTCATTTCTACTTCAAGAAAAATGTCTACCTTCTTTTCTCTTTGCTTCAAATGTTCAACTTTCCTAACCTGATCCCCAGGCTCCGGGGAACCAGGGGCAGCTCTTCACCAGAGGGCTCCTGGGCATTGGAAAGTGGCTCCCAATGATCCCTGTGATTCATGCTCCTTCTGCTTGAGTGTGGGTTGGACTTACTTGATTCAAGCACAGAAGAGATGGATGTCACTTCCAAGATTAGGCCATAAAAAGACTGTGGCTTCAGTGGTAGGTGCTCTCTTGCTCTTTTGGATTGCCTTGTGACAGGGGAAGCCAGCTGCCATGTCTCTGGTAGCCCTCTTGAGAGGCCTGTGTGAGTGAGCTGGGAAGCAGATCTTCCGAGGCCTGCTGACAGCTATGTGAATGATTTTGGAAGCAAACCCTTCCCAAGTCAAACTTGACTATGGCCTGGTGACAGATCTCAGCCAAAGGAACCCACTAAGCCATGCCCAGATTCTGGCCCACAGAAACAATGAGATGATAAATGCTTGTTTCTAGCTAGTAAGTTGTGGACTAATTTGTTACACAGCAAAAGATGACAAATACATTGGGCCTGGTCTCCTCCCAGCTGTTGGTGCTCAACTTCTGCTAACTCTGCAGGCTCCTACTGAGACTCTAGATGAACAGAAACCTCAGAGAGTTCAAGCAATGCCTCCTCCCTGTACTCACTCAAAAACAGCTCCTTTGTACATTATTATGTCTGAAAAGGTGAACTCAAATAGAATGTTCAAAGTTAGGTGACTGACTTTCATGTTAAGGAAAAATGTGATTTTCTTTCAAGGAAATTTTTTAAAGTTACGAAATCTCTAATTTCCTCTCTCCTTTGATAATATGTTCCCCCATTTAGAACATGTCCTTTTCCTTCACAACCGAATAAACAGGGACCAGACTGAGTCCAGTGAGTGCCCAACTGAGACCAATGCTGCTCTGCTGCTTGTGTGGCACTTGATATAGTCCACTCTCAGCCACTCTAAGTCTCAAGACATGGATGCTCATCCTTGTATCACCATAGTCTTTTTTCTTCTCAGATGAGAGAATGATGACAGTAAAATGCATAGGGATGCTACTGAAATCAAACTAAAGGGTATGTGATACTCAGAATATCTGCTTATCAGCTAACGTGTGAAAGTTTGGAAAATCTACAGATATACTATATATTTGAAAGTTGAGTTTTTGGTAAGAAATATAGAGAATGAAAGAAATTGTCTATTTTCTTTCCTCTACTCATTCAGAAAACAATGATAAAAGAAAGTTACAAGCAAATCTCTTATTTTTGGGGGAAGGTGTGCAGGAGTGAAGATGGTTTCCTTGGCAACCAAGCCACTGATTTCTTTTCCCCGGCTGATCTGCTGAGCTTGTGGTAAAAGTCATGCTGCTCAGAAGATGTAGGAATAATCTTTTAATTAGCTTAACAACTCCCAACTGTTTCTTCCACAACCTCATTTTGTTCTCTGGAAAATGTGCTTTGTAATTCTTAAACTATTTTCACTCATATTACACATTCCTCTAATATTTTCGAATTCACTGGACAAACTGAACTGTTCTGTAACAATGTTAATGGCTAATTTATGACAATTGCTAAGCATTGTTTTAAGCATTTAAAATGTTTAATGTTAATTTTTAATGATTACTATTTATATTTTATGCTTTAAAAAGAATATATAAACTCAAGACTTCGGAAAAATGTAGAAAATATTAAGAAAACTATAAGAACCAACTATAATATCACTATCTGGATATTTAGGCCTTTAGAAAAGTTATAGTAAAAATAGGCCAGATGCGGTGGCTCACACCTGTAATCCTAGCACTTTGGGAGGCTGAGGCAGGTGGAACATGAGATCAGGAGTTCGAGACCAGCCTGACCAACATGGTGAAACCCCATCTCTACTAATATAAAAATTAGCTGGGGGTAGTGACAGGTACCTGTCATCCCAGCTACTCAGGAGAGAGGCAGAAGAATCACTGGAACCCCAGAGGCAGAGGTTGGAATGAACTGAGATCACACCACCACACTCCAACCTAGGCGATAGAGTTGAGACTCCATCTCAAAAAAGAGAAAAAATATATTATACTAAAAATATAAAATTTGCCATTTTAATCATTTCTTAAATGCATAATTCAGTGGTATTATGTATATTCACAATGGGATTAGTCAGCCAAAGGGTACAAACATTTTAATAAAGCTTTTGAATACAAACTGACCAAGTGGTTCTCAAAAGATGTAAACCATTTTTTAATACCATTTGTAAATGTTTGAATATATTTCTCTCATTGCATTCTTATCATTAGCATCATATAATTAATTTTTGCAAATTTTATAAGCAAAAATAATATTTTTAAACGGAATTAAATTGCTTTTTTAAAAATGAAAAGGCTAAGCCATTTTTTGGTGTTTTATTTTTACCTTGACTCCTTACCCAGAGAAGCAGTAGCATCTCCAACCACATACACTGACTTGGCATTCCATTTTTCTTTCAGAGACCTTTCCCAGACTGTAAAACATGAAATTATATGTGAGTTGTAAATACCAAAGTGGCCATTTGGACCATTGCCCAAGGTTGCTTGTTCACCCTAAGAAACCTGTGAGCAAAGCAAACTATTAATAACCAAATGTAAAGAATAGCATCTCAAACTAAAATTTCATTTTCACATTGTTCATGTTTTATAGGCAATTTTTTAAAAATTGCTTTCATAAATGTTTTAGTATTCCTTGCTTGAAATATTACCTTCTTTCCACAGTTGGTACTAGAATAATTTTAATGGGTACCAGGAAATAAACATAACTTGAAGAATTAATTTGCATAGTGAAATAAAAAATTTAAATCTAGACTTACAAAAAAAAAGACACTAGTCATTAAAAAAAAGCAACTTAAATGTCTAATACATAAATCCAATTGGTTTATTTGGGACATAAATCTGAAAACAGTCAACAAACTGTAATCTCAGAGGAGAGGGTTCTTTTATTCATTACACCATAAAGTAAAGTAAAAACAATAAATTTCAGGTCAATTAACAAACATAATTTGATACAGAATACCATCATTTTATGATCAAACAAAATCTTTAAATATGGATTAAAGAAATACAAAGAGAAATGGATTGTATAAATAAATATAAATAAAGCCACTGGACATTTATTACATTTTTAGAAAACAAGGAAATAATAGTTCTTTCCTTCTAAAATCTGGTCATGAGCGTAACTCTCCCTTAAATTCAATAGCACTATTACTCTACCCTTTACATTAAGGGAAATTCCCTCTGAAAGAGTAACCAAAGATTGAGTTCCAAATACCTGTTTGTGAGAATCAAAATAAGAAAATATATGGGAAAATACATTTTAAACTTTATTATAAAGCACCGAAAGACTTACAGTGACCTTTCTAGGGTTTTCCTCTTTTTCATTATCTTCATCCTCAAAACATACAAAAGGAAAAAATACAATTGCAAAAAAAACTCAGGGCACCACTGGGAAAGAATACACATGCTTCCCCATCTGGAGTGTAATGGCACGATTTCAGCCCATACAACCTCCGCCTCCTAGGTTCAAGTGATTCTCGTGCCTCAGCCTCCTGAGTAGCTGGGATTACAAGCACGTGCCTACATGCCCAGCTAATTTTTTGTATTTTTTGGTAGAGATGGGGTTTCACCATGTTGGCCAGGCTAATCTCGAACTTCTGACCTCAAGTGATCCACCTACCTTGGCCTCCCAAAGTGCGGGGATTACAGGTGTGAGCCACCGTGCCTGGCCAGTTCTGAGTTTCTTAGGTCTTCAGACTTTCTTTTCAACAGGAGGTGAATGTGTGTATGAAATCACCAAGAAGGTAGTATGTTTAGGCTATGATGAAGCCTGGTTAAATGTGGAGGCAGAATAACCAGAACTCACCACTGTCACTCCATGCCCACTCTGTTCCAGGTAATGTCCTGGATGCTTCCCTTTAAGACTTAGACTCTGCAGCTTGAATCCTGAACTTGTGCTTTATGTATTGTGGGGGCCTGGAAAGTTCTTCAGGTTCTTCATCTGTCAAGTGAAAATACTAAGCATATCTATCTCACAGGATAGAGCATTCAGGGCAGTCTTGCACAGAGTGAGCACTCAGCTTGACCTAGCTAATAGTAGAAGTAATAATACCATGATGCAGGTATTATTATGCCCACTTTAAAGACAAGAAGACTGAGGCTCAGAGAGGTAAAGGAACTCATTAAGGTCCAAATGGCTGCATAAACCCAGGCCTAACTCACACCAAAGCCCTTGAATGACCACTGCCTGCTGCCTCCACTGATCAGTGTAACTATGGAGGTGGGTGGCCTGAGTGTGAAGCCTCGCTCTGCACTGACTCGTTCTGTGCTTACTCTCCCAGCCTCAGTTTTCTCAATGGTAACATAAGATCATAGCATTGTGTGCCTCTGGATTGTTATCTGGGGTTAAGTGGGGTAAAGAACGTGAAGTATTCACTACACGGGCATACAACAGGCACTGTGTTCACATACAACAGGGATTCCATAAATGTTAGCTAGGAAGCTGTTCAATTGCATTTATTAAGAAGGTGTTTGCTCAGGCTGAAACCCAGGGTTCTGTTAATGGGCACTGCCATTTCCATACTGTTCTCGTGGTGAGGGAAGGCAGTGGGAAGACAGGTCAAAGAGATGACTGAGTCACTAAGTGCCTGACATCGTGGCACTGACCATTTTCTCATAGTTAAATTTTTTCATCATCTCTCTTTGAGGAAAGTAGAATTGATCTTATTTTCAGAGGAAGAAGCTGCTGCCTGATACATTCTAAGTGAAGATATGAGTGCCCAGGAGGTGAACAGCGAACAGACAGGGCAAGTCCCTCTCAGGGTCATCTTGTCTGGGAGTTTAAGAGGCAGCCCCGTCTCCCGTTTCCCAAGGCAGGGTCTGTAATCTGACACCACTAAGCACTCACTTCCCTTAGAAGTGCAGCTGCTTCTGGAACTTAGTCTCCCCGCAGGAGAAACAAGAGTAAATAACCGTCCAGGGGCATCCACAGTAGACCCACCCTCACCTTCGGTTTTATTGTCTTGATCCAAACACAACTCTGCTGCTTCCACTGCTCTGGGGCTGGTAAAAATGAGTCCCCCATAATCTTCAGGATGAGAAAGCTGCACACCAAAAAGCAATAAAGTCATTTTACACGATGGCTACATTCAACATCTTCCAAGGAGCTGTGACTCAGTATTCCAAATGTTTCACAAGAGTAGTAAGAAAACTAATTCCTTCCACCCACCGCCCAACACTTACTGAGTGCTTGCTATGCCTGGAACTATTTACTCCAGGACTTTTAGGATACACAGGTCAATTCTTTATTCATAGTACTTCCCCCAAGAAGCTCACAGGCTAGGGCAGGGACAGACAAGTACACCACAGGGTGATAAGTGTCACTGCAGCACAGAGGGGAGGTGGGACATAGCCTGGGATTAGAGTGGGGTGCAGGTAGGAGGGAAGCCTTGACCTGACTCTGTAATAAAAGTGGGAATATACAGGGGTGATATCCATGCTGAAGCTCTGATTTTCAAAGAGGCTAACAGTGATATTATCTACCAAACATTTACTCTGAGCAAGGCACTGGGCTGCTGTATACATCTGATTTCCCTGAAGCTGTGAGCACTGGATTTTCACTCTGAAACATTTGGAAGGCTTTACTGGGCTTGTCTCCTGCAATTTTTTATCACTCCTACACTGGAAGCAGAATTGAAGTTGTGGGCAGAAGCCATGGGTTTGAGTCCCAGCCCTGTCTCTTACTTGCTAGAGGTCTTAGCTGAGTTGCCTAATTTGGGACTCCAGTCTCTAAAATGGGAAAATAACACCTACCTGGCCTGCTTGGCAGAGGTGGAGGGTGAGGGGTAGATTAAATGAGAGGATGAGTGAAAGGGTTCTAGACTGCTGAGAGCAATCCTGGAAAATGCAGGTTTGCTGCTCTCACCATGACCTGCTCTCCTGGGCCCCAATCTCTGAGTCTGGGTGGCTTTCTGGAGGGGCTGATAGAGGCTCAGTTAGAGACTCCCAACAGCAGCAACCTCCTGGAGCCAGGTGAGGTTATGCTGCCTTGTTTTAAAGTTTGGGAATAAAATACGGAGACAATAAAACAGTCCTTCTCTGGCTTCGGCTGGCAAGCGTTCTACAGAAATCAAAAACTAACATGGTGCTCAGTCAAGACAGGCCTTACCTTCTCAGAGAAACTGGTAAGAGACAAAAACTCAAATGATAAAACAGGGATCAAAGTGGCTTCAAGTCCATATAATCCCAATTCCTGCAAATGAAAGAATATAGTTCTGGATTGGCTATGGCTGTTTTTAAAATAAGGAAACATTAACCATTTATTCTGCATTAGTTCCTGAGTTTTTGCAGACCCCGCCCCTGCCTGCTCCGGACCCCTTGACTTAGTAGAAAGGACCCTATGGGAAAAGGAGTCTCAGGCCACTTACCCTGATATACGGATCCTGGCCACAGTCGTCTTCCTTAGCATCCTTCAGTAAAAGAACCTTCATTATTGCCTGGCATCCCTTGTAGGGCGCTGTGATAGAGCAAGGAAACAGATCTTAATTAGATCTCAAAGACTCTTCCTAAGCAGTGTCCGATGGGGACAGTACACAAGAAGAAGGCAATAAATTGCTTGTTGAAGAGACCTATCCCTCCTACACGATGACTCAGCACTAATGGGCTTCTTCTTTCTGAAGACCCCTGTCACTGATAAGGCCAAGAAGGAGCATGTTAGCAGTCGATATCACTTGGAAAGACAGATGAAACCCATTAGTGAAAGTCAAGCGTCCTATACCAAACATTTATGGCTCCAAGAAGAGAACTGATGCAAATTTAGGGCTGTATCAACAACAAACAGAGAAATGGATATCTTACATTTTAAGGAGATAAACAGCTTTTCCATTTCAAGATAAATATACTAAGTAGCTCATAAGCACTTTAGGAAATAATTACATTGACTCTTCTACTTATTAAATGTTTTCTAAACATTGTCAAGTATCTTAAGATAGTCTGATAACCTGGAAAACGACTTGTTGACATCAAAGCCTTGTATACTTCATCCTTTTTCTTCCTGTAATTTCATTCCTACGAATACTAAAGCAATACTCATAAAGGTGTCCAAAGATTAACATAAAGATGCTCACACTAGAATTCTTTAGAATTATAAATAAACGGAAACAATGTAAAGATCCAACAATGAGAGAATAGTTAAAGAAATCATGGTACAAATCTATGAAATCATCAAAATATTCACAATTACATGAATTATTAAATCACAAAATGTTAAGAAAAAAGCAAGATTCAGAATTACACAGTATGATTCTATAGATTTTTCATACATATATGAAAGGATATGCACCAAAACATTAATAGCAATTATTTCTGAGTGGTAAATTAGAATGATTATTTTCTGTTTTACCTCTCTTTCAGTATTATAAAAAAATTTTTTTTACAATGAAAACTATATTCCTCTTGTATTGGGGTGGGGGGAAGGCACATTATAATCATCCCAAGGGCCGGCCAAGTACAGTGGCTCATGCCTGCATCCCAGCACTTTGGAAGGCTGAGGTGGGTATATTGTTTTAGCCCAGCCTGGGCACTATGGTGAGACCCCATCTCTACAAAAACATTAAAAAAATTAGCCAGGTCTAGTGGCATGTGCCATAGTTCCAGCTCCTTGGGAGGATCACTTGAGCCTGGGAGGAGGAGGTTGTGGTGAGCCGTGATCCTACCACTGCAGTCCAGCCTAGGTGAGAGAGTGAGACCCTGTCTCTAAACAAACAAACCAATAAATGCTGCTGAAAAACTGCAGAATAAATCTGCTTGAGATGCATATTATCATTCCATAAATGGCATTAGACCCACCAGTTAGTTACTTAATAAATATTATGCAGTGGCTGCTAAGAATCAACAGACTACAGTGTTTGAAACAGAAATGTGCCAGGCACGGTGACTCACGCCTGTAATCCCAGCACTTTGGGAGGCCGAGGTAGGCAGATCGCCTCGAGGTCAGGAGATCCAGACCATCCTGGCTAACACAGTGGAACCCCATCTCTACCAGAAAAAAAATTAGCCAGGCGTGGTGGCTGAGGCAGGAGAATTGCTGGAACTCAGGAGGTGGAGGTTGCAGTGAGCCGAGATCGAGCTATAACACTCCGGCCTGGGTGACAAAGTAAGACTCCCTCTCAAAAAAAAAAAAAAAAAAGACATGTACCAATTCTGGGTGCCATTACTTACAAATTACTACTGAATATATATTTCTGGAGTATTACAATATTTATGGAACATTTTGGGAAAATTGGCTCAAAATTAACTGTTTTGTACCTAAGCACCAAACCTGGTGAACAAATATAATACTTATGAAATCAATTTCTAATATTGGAGCTATCAAGGTGCTAGCTAGAGAGATTGGGAATTCAGGGGAATGGGCAGTATGGTTCCTATCACTTCCCAAAGTTACTCAAAATGTATCTCACACAGAAATTAGGAGACTGCCCTTTTGCAATGGTAACTTCTGTGCCACCTTGACTAGGCTACAGCACTGTTTTTCCAAACACTACTCTAGGTGTTGCTGTGAAGGTATTTTGAAGGTAAGATAAAGTCATCAACTGTCTTTAAGTAAGGGAGACTATCCTAGATAACCTAGGTAGGCCTGATTCATTCAGTCCAAAGCAGACCTCAGGAAGAAATTCCAGCTGTGGACACACCTTCAGCCTGTGGAAATTCCCATCTGCCCTTCCTGCAGGCCTGCCTTCCTTGGCTGGCACTAAGGATTCAGACTTGCCTTGCCAGCACCCACAGGTGCACGGGCCAGTTCCTTGCAATATGTTGCCATATATATATATATGTATCTCACTGGTTCTTGTTCTTTGATTGCACTCTAATACACCTTCTAATTTGGCAGGTCCAGGAATCTCTATATCACTGAAGGGCAGGTAAAACTTGGCATTTTCGGCTAAGACATACATCCTTTTGTGGCACACAAAGAAAGCAATTAGTGTGGGGTTTGAAAAGCAGAAGCATAATGCTTGGAAGCAGGCAATCCTGTGGCCACAGAGCTCTATTCAGCCCCCACCATGTTCCCACCATGGATCTAGCCTCTGAGATACAAATCCCTACATTTTCAAAGAATATTTCTGTAATGCTTTCAAATACCAGAAGCCAACCCTCTCACAAGTGTTTCTATATAGTTCTCAGGCTGTGACGCCAAATCCCAAGCTTGGAATCCTCCTCAGAAATTAGGTCTGCATTATTTATTGGGAATGTGTGTAATAATTTCAGAACTAGCAAGTGCTACGAGGTGATCTGGCAGAGTGACTGGGGTGCTGATAACTAGTTCCATATCCAGGGAGACCTCTGGGGAGCTGACATTTGAGTCATTTTGACATTTGTGATCTGAATGACAATAGCAGTGAGAAGAAAATGTTCAAGGGTCAGAAAGGGGCCTGGGTATCTCCAGGAGAGAAGGTAAGTGTGGCTCAAGTGTAATGGACAAGGTAAGCTATGGATTTCATGAGAAAAGGGACCCCACTGAAAAGTTTAGGATAGGATTGACAGTGATGGGATCCACACTTTAGAAACACCACCGACTTTTGGAGCAGGGAAGGACAGGGACCCCATGGGTCATAGCAGATTAGTCGAAAGTCATCAGTTGCAGTAGGGGTGCTAGCTTTAGCAAAGGCCAGGTCAAGAAGTGACTAGATCAAGGCTTCATTTTGCAGTCATCAGGATTTGCTGATACAATTCTAGGTGAAACCATCTAACTACAGCCTAGTTTGAAATGGTTGGGACCAGGCTGAAAAGAAGCGTTTCTTCTTTGAATCCCACCTGAACTTTTTTTGGTTTGTCTAGTTAAATCCTATCAGTAAATCACACCTTTCTAGAACAGTAACTGTGCTAGGCACTGGCATGCAATATGATCCCTGTATGATTATATTTACAGGAAGGTAAATGGGTACTTTAAAAATCAGTAAAAACATACTCATAATGCAGTAAGTCTTATCAAAGAATATTCAAGATTCACAGCTGGTACATCTTATTGGGACTGGGGGGTGTGGTATAGATTGCCAGTTGCCCCTAAACATTTACTCATCCCTTCTACCCATAGAAACGGGCACCCCTCATTAACTGGGCAATGGTTGCCGAAAATAAAAATGTGTAGTTAGACGTCGTGAGGTGACTAGGTTCTGGCCAACAGGATGCAAGGGGAGGTGATGTGCAAAACTTATGAGTTCTGTACTTAGAAGGAAATGCTGGTCCCAACCCCTCCCCTGCCCTCCCCCTTTCTGCCTGGAATGTGGATGGGGTGGCCAGACCCTTCATACTTGTAGAGAACAACCTAGGGATGATGGAACAAGACAGGAGCACGGACCCCTTTGTATTGTATTAGTCAGAGTTCTTCAGAGAAACAGAACCAATGGCACATATTTATATCCAGAAAGGGAGTTGTTGTAAGGTGCTGGGGCTCATGCAGTTATGGAGGCTGAGAAGTCCCATATCTGCTGTCGGCAAGATAGAGACTTGTAAGCAGGAAGGCTGGTGGTGTAGCTTGAAGGCCTGAGAGCCAAGGGTGTAGATCTTACTCCTAGAAAGCGGCCGGCTTCTCTAATGATTTTCTTTCCATGTACTCTTTTTTTTTTTAAAAAAAACAGAAGGCAGACTGGTAGCCTGTGGGATAAAGCTGAGGTTGATATGGTTTTTTATTTGGTATAGGTTCTTAAATAATCAGGGTGTTTCTCGTAAAGAGCCAGAACCCTCCTCTTCTTTTGCAATGGAAAGACCTGGCCGCACAGGGGATGGCAGCGGAGACTCACGCACTCTGCAGCTGCCCGCGGTCCCTTCCACTTTTCTCTCAAAATTGGCTCGGGTCTTCAACCTAGACTACCCCCACTGGACCCGAAGTTGTTGTTGTTGTTTTTTTTTTTTTGAGATGACATCAGTCTGGAGTGTGGAGTGCGTGACTCGATCTCCGCTCACTGCAAACTTCGTCTCCTGGGTTCAAGAGATTCTCCTGCCGCAGCTTCTTCAGTAGCTGGGACTACTGGCGCCTGCTACCACACCTGGCTACTTTTTATATTTTTAGTAGAGACGGGGTTTCACCATGTTGGGCAAGCTGGTCTCAAACTCCTGACTTCAAGTGATCCACCCACCTCGGTCTCCCAAAGTGCTGGGGATTACAGGTGTGAGCCACCGCGCCCGGCTAATTTTTGTATTTTTAGTACAGACCAGGTTTCGCCATGTTGGCCAGGCTGGTCTCGAACTCCTGACCTCCGGTGATCCAGCCGCCTCGACCTCCCGAAGTGCTGGGATTACAGGTGTGAGCCACCGCGCCCGGCCCCCGCGAAGCATTTTTAATTGCAGTCCCTGGTTTTAAAAAAAAAACTTTAGATCAAGAAACGCGCTCCAGAAGTTTGGCGAGGGTAGGCTGGGCAGGCGCCTTCCGTCACCGGCGCAGCCGTAGGAGCCACAGACCTCCTGCCTGGGCAGGGCCAGGCCCGCGGCGGCCTCCCGGCCTTGGCCCCGCGAAGTCACACACCGCCCTGGGCCGGGGCCCTGCACGCCCGCGGGCCTTGGCCTCTGCACTGGTACCGCGGGCGGCGACACCTACCTCGAGGGGCTGGCGAGGCCTTAATGGGCTAAAAGACTGGACCGTGCCCAGCACCGGGCTTAGGACACCGCAGGCGCCCAGTCGGGGGTCGGTGTCGCGCAGTCCCAGCGAAGAGGCTGCTGACGCTGCAGGAGCAATGACAAGAGGGTGGGCAGCCTCCTCCCCAGGCAGCCTCAGGGCTGCGGCAGCGACCCGGGCCGGGTCCTAGGACCCCGGCACCTTAGCCTAGGGTCGCTGTGTGGCCGCGCGCACCGCTGGGTGCTCGCGCATGCGCCTCTAAATCCAGGCCGCGGAATGAGGCCTAAGGCTAGATGGGTTAAACCACTAAGCGAAGGGGAGGGGAAGCCTTGGGAGGAGTGAGAGAGGGTGGAGGGAGGAAGGAAAAAGCAAGCTAGGACCGCAAGCTGGACCTGACTGTAAGGGATCATGGCTGCAGAATCCAGCAGGGGCATTGGGGTTGGCGTGTACCCATCGCTGAGCTTCTTCGTAATCCCTCCCCCGCTTGGCTACTATGGGCTGGTCTGTAAGGTCGGGCTACGGGAAGCTGCGCAGGCGCAGTGTGGGCGGTAACATGGCGTCCAGGGCCAAACGGAGGGCTGTGGGAAGTGGGGTTCCGCAACCGCCTGGCGCCCCGGTCCCGCGCGACGACGAAGAGGAAGATGAAGTCGACGATGAGGACGAAGACGATGACGACAGTGACGAGGAAGAAGATGAAGACGACGAGGTCGTCGACGAGGTGAGAAGGACACACACTTCTCTAGTTGGCTTATGAACTTCGTGGCAAGCCCAGGTTCCGAGGGTCTGTGATCAGAACCTGGAGAAAAGTTGTTTCTCAGGTTCCTCCTCGGCCTTTGACACACTGCAGCCGTCGTAGTTATTTCTCAAAGGCCTACCCCGATCCGGTTATTCTCGCAACCCGCTTCCCCGCTAAAAAGCCCGCCGCGGCAGGTGTGTTCTTCTCGCCCGCTTTAGTGCTCAGGCCGAAATCTCAGATCCTGAATCGGCCACCCGGGGTCCGCAGAGCCGGCCCTCTCCCCCCGGGGCAGCAGCTGTCCGCCTCTGCACTGTGCAGGCTGCGCTCACGTGGGCCCTCAGTTTCTCGAAGGCTCCTGCCGGGTTCTACCGTAGAAGCCTTTTCAGAGATGCTCTTTCCCTTCCTTCTTCAGATCTCAGCTAGGCTGTATTTTCTGGTTTCCTGGGGCAGCTGACCCAAGGCGTGGGTAAATCTTTGGCTTCATAATCTCACAGAACTGGTTCCAATTGTAAGCTGCGTGAGAGCAGGATTATTCGTGTCTGCCTTACTAACCTTTTCTTTTTTTTTTTTTTTTTTTTTGGAGGCGGAGTCTTGCTCTGTTGCCAGGCTGGAGTACAGTGGCGCAATCTCAGCTCACTGTAGCCTCTGCTTCCTGGGTTCAAGCGATTCTCCTGCCTCATCAGCATCCCGAGTAGCTGGGACTACAGGTGTGTGCCACCATGCCCAGCTAATTTTTGTATAGATTTGGGGTTTCATCTGCCCACCTCAGCCTCCCAAAGTGCTGAATTTACAGGTGTGAGCCACCACACCCATTATAACCTTTTCATCTTGAGTGTCTGGCATAGTGCTTGGTACCTGGATTGGTACTTAATAAATATTTGCTAGGTGAATGAAGTGTAACCTCAAATCCATGAGCTAAATTAAGCTCTAGGCAATTCCAGGGACTTTTGAAATGATTTTTATTTTTGCCCACTCTTTTTGCAATCAGGAAAATAATTTTTTCTTTGTGGCTGCTGTGACTGGTTTATTTGAACTGGACTTTCTCAACATTTAAACTAGGTTACTCTGAGTGTTTTGTTCTCTCAGGCTTTTGTGTCATGAAGAAATGTTGTGATGGTGCTTTGTATTCTCTACAGATGGCTATCTTGGCAATGTTTGCCTATTTTAAAGCCTAGATGTTTGTAGTTTTTCTGATAACTATTTTATGTGTTATTTACAGGAAGTGAATATCGAATTTGAAGCTTATTCTATATCAGATAACGATTATGACGGAATTAAGAAATTATTGCAGCAGGTATTATCTTTTATTTATTATGCATAAATTTCTTCTTCTAAGAAAAATCCCATGCCTATAATCTCTGCGCTTTGGAAGGCTGAGGTGAGAGGATTGCTTGATCCCAGGAATTTGCGACCGGCCTGGGCAACGTAGTGAGAACTGGTCTACAAAAAATAAAAAGTTAGCCAGGTGTGGCACCACACATCTTTAGTCCTAGCTACTCCAGAGGCTGAGGCTGGAGGACTACTTGCGTTTAAGAGCTCAAGCCTGCAGTGAGCTATGAATGCCCCACTGAGCTCCGGTCTGGGAAACAGCAAGCATCTGTCTCTAAAAGAAAAAAAATAAATAAGCAAATTCAGGGCGTTCAGTACAGGCTCTCTCAAATTCATCTCTTTAGAATTTCCATTTCTCTCCTCTCTGCCTTGCCTGGAAGGAAGAACTATTTCGTTTCATCTGCTAATTAGTTGAGCCACTGTTTTGTTTTCTCTAATTCACAATTCTCAGTAGTCCTGTAACTGTGCTGTTTGGTGCTACAACATTGATGCTTGCTGCTTCTCCTTATTTGTTGACTCATGTAATATGACTTTGGTTCTTTAACCTTTATAGCCTCCACTGTTCTTTTCACCAGATTCTTTGGCCTTATGTCCATCCTCTCTCTTTTCTCCCTTTTTTTTCTCTCCCTCCCCCATTACTTCTGTATTACCACTGACTGCTTCTCTGAAATTTCCTAATCTTTAGCTTCTTTCTGACTCTCCTGGGCTTTTCTTTCCCTCTTAGGATTGCTTTTCTAGGTCATCTTTTTAATCAAGTCACAGAAATTTTATTATTTGTATTTGAGTATGGGATTTGAAGTTATTAGAAATCATGCTTTGATCTTAATTTAAAATAATTTTTCCTCCTTTTAGCTTTTTCTAAAGGCTCCTGTGAACACTGCAGAGCTAACAGATGTCTTAATTCAACAGAACCATATTGGGAGTGTGATTAAGGTAAGCAGGACAATTGGGTTTTTTTCTGATTAAATGAGTTCTTTATTTAGTTCATACTTGGCATGGTGGCTCATGCCTATAATCCCAGCAGTTTGGGAAGCCAAGGTAGGAGGCTCGCTTGAGGCCAGGACTTCAAGACCATCCTGGGCAACATAGCAACACTCTGTCTCTACAAAAAATAACAAAAATTAGCCGGGCATAATGGCACATACCTATACTCTTTTTACCCAGTTGACTGTGGTAGAAGGATCTCTTGAGCCAGGGAGTTCAAGGCTGAGCTTTGATTGTGCCACTGCACTCTAGCCTGGCAACACAGCAAGACCCTATATCTGGGGGAAAAAATGAGTTATTCATTCTGTTTAGCTTGAATTGGAAGGCAGTATTACTGGAGGGAGGGAGACTGGTCAGAAGGTCATTGCAGTAATCCAAGGTTATTAAATGCAATAGTCCAGGTAGTGGCAATGGAGAGGGAGAGAAGTGGGCTCATTTGAAAAATATTTGGGAGATGAAATATGATGGAGTTTAGTCCCTGATTGGGTCTGAAAGTGAGAGGAAAAGGAGTCAAGGATGTCTTCCAGGTTTCTAGCTTGAGCAAACAGGATTGCAAACATGGAGAAGTTCAGGTTAGGAGGGGGAACGTGAGTTTGGATTTGTACATTTTGAGTTTGAATTACCTGTGAGATACTGGGTAGCAGGTGGAGCCCTGGAGACTTGGGAGTTTGTAGTAAATGTTATTGAATCATAGAAGTGATTGGGATTGCACAGGGAGGGAAGGGACAGATACCTTAGTAATACCAAGAATACTTGGATGAGTAACATAAGTGGCAGAGCCAGCAAGAGAGATGAAAAAGGATGGCTGGAGAAGTAGAAGAAACAGCAGTGCAGTGATGTCATGCACAGCAAGGAAGAGAACATTTAAAGGAGGTGGGGATTGTCATCCTTACCAGATAGATGTTGTAGAGAGCGCAACAAAATAAGGACTAGGTTGGACCCTGGCTCTGTTGCCTGTCATCTGCTGGTTCTTTGGGTTATGTGTTTGCATAACAAACCACCCCATAGCTCAGTGTCATAAAATAGCAGCAGTCATTTATTTGGCTGATGGATCTGCAGTTTGGACAAAGCTTAGTGGGCACAACCCATCTCCATTATCATGTTAGCCGGAGAGGCTTGACTGGGGGCTGGAGGATTCCCTTTCAAGATGGCTCAGTCACCTGACTGGCAAGTTAGCCCTAGCTGTCTGTCGGGAGCTTAGCTGGGACTCTGGACCAGGGGCCTCAGTTCCTCTCCATGTGGGCCTCGCTACACATTGGTTTGGTTCCATGAGCAAGCAGCCCAAAAGAACCAGGCAGAAGTGATGAAATAGTGCCATTTCCACCATTTGATTTGTCAGTACAGATACAAATTTCTACCTAGGGAAGGGCACATTGACCCCACCACTCCATGAGAAAAGTGTCTAGGTCACTTTGTCAGAAGAGCATGTCCAAGAAGAAATCCATTGGGGCTGTTTGTGAAAGATACAATCTGCCACAGTACCTTAATTTCCATTTCCACCTCTGAAAATGAGGACGATACTAGCATCTACCTTGTAGAGTGCATGGGTAAACAAAATGAGTTGCTGACTGCTTAGAACAGTGTCTGGCAACTGACAAGTGCTACACATGTGTAGCTGTCACTGTTGATGTCTTTTTCCTGTTTACAGCACCTGTTCCCTAGCCTATTGTGAAAAACACAGCAAACAAAAGCTCCATTCAGTCAAATGTTCCACTCTAACTACATTACCTTCAGAGCCAAAAATCTTGAAAAGTAATCTTATTCATGGTTTCTACTTCCTGTCCTCCTTTTCATTCTTCAGACACTCTTATCTGACTTTTACGCCATAAAAATTCTGACATTGAATGACAGGATCACCAACATACTTATTACTAAATACAGTGGACACTTTTCAAGCCTTCTGACATTAGTAACCTTATCACACTCAATATAAATGAGAAATTAAACCTATTGGGGCTTCCTTTTATTAGGACAGTGGGAAAAAGCAGACCACCTGCTCTTTCATCAAACAAATGTGATCTCTAGCTAATTAGTGTCTTAGAAGACCTAATGGATATGGAGGAGAAGCAGTTATTTTTATCCTTGAAAGAGGTTATTGTCTAATGGCAGGATTCACCCTTTAAATGGATAATCACATCAGTAGCTCTGCAGCTATAATTGTGGCTTCTTTGGCTTCTCCAGAGATGCTTGAGGCGTCCCGAGGATAGAGACTTCTTGTTCTTAGTAAAGGGACTACCCAGAGCGTTCAGGGGAGTCAGTCCCTACAAAGGGCAGGTTTCTCTTTTTTCCCTTCTCTCTTGCCCTTGTGAGGTGTAAGTGGCCCTCGAGCACTGCCCAGTTTCACCATTACGTCAAGACAAGTGCTCTCGAAACACGCGATTTTTAGATGAAACAATGCTGTGAGCCAGCAGGGAGGCAAGGCTTGGCTCCAGCCAAATTGTTTAGAAAACCAATGAAAGTGCTTTATTTCTGAGGTTTTATCTCTTCTGGATTCATTTTATATTGAGAATCTGGTAAAAGAAAATGACTTAAGAATCTGGTACAGAGAAGTTTCAATCTTTCCAGAATCTAAAAAGAGGAACAGAGTCGAGGGAGGTAAAGTGAACTGAACAAGGTCATACAGTATTTAAGATACAGTGCTTTCCAAGATGATAGTGGTAAAACTGTGACAGTATTTAAAATATAATGCTTTCTAAGATGACGGCGGTAAAACAGAGTTTTGCTTTTGAAAAGTGAAAAGATAAATGAGGCCTACATCCCAAGACTTGGTATTATACTCAACTAAATATAAAATTAAAATATTTTTTCTTTTAAAATAGCAAACGAATGTTTCAGAAGACAGCGATGATGATGTGGATGAAGATGAGATTTTTGGTTTCATAAGCCTTTTGAATTTAACTGAAAGAAAGGTTGGTTTCACGGGGTGACATCTCAATGGTTATTTCTTAGGCCAAAACCACTTCTATTTAATGCATGGTGGATATATCTTTTATGTCAGATGATGATATTAACGAGAGGGATAAGTGCTGTTATTATAATCCATTTTCAATATGAAGGTGATGGTGTTTTGAATAATCTGTACCCAGTTAAAGTTGTTTACTCCCTGTGGTTTAGGGAATCATCTGGTTTGGCAGTCCTGATGTTGGTACTGATGCAGGAGCTGTTGGTACTGTGTCTCTGCAGCTGTTATCTTTACTACTTGTGTGGTGGGGATATTCTGAGGCTTTGTTGCTTCAAAGTTGAGGGCACTTACTGACATTTTATTTTGTTTTGCTTCATCGGTTTTTATTGACTAATGAGTTGTAATAAAAGTAAATCAGCTGCTTACCCTCCTCGGAATAAGATGCAGGCTACACTTAATCTTTCATTTTGAAATGAACTTTCCAGCTACTTCCATCTATCTTTATGAGGTGGACTAGAGTTGCTATTCCAGTGTGTCTGAATGTTAATTATGACCTTCTTACCACTGATCATGGGATGGTAAGTAACCAGTGTGTTTGCTTTTAAGAAATACTTAAGCGATCAACACTGAAGACGTACAAGATGCTAAAGGCTGTGGCAGCAAACTGCCCTTAGCTGTAAGATGAAAAGTGATAGCTCTCACTTTCAGGTTTTCTCCTGTAAGTGGTTGGCTGTAATAGAAAACAAACTTTCTCTTTGCTTTCTAGGGTACTCAGTGTGCTGAACAAATTAAAGAGTTGATTCTAAGCTTCTGTGAGAAGAACTGTGAAAAGAGCATGGTTGAACAGCTGGACAAGCTTTTAAATGACACCACCAAGGCTGTGGGCCTTCTCCTAAGTGAAAGATTCATTAACGTCCCTCCACAGATCGCTCTGCCCATGTACCAGCAGCTTCAGTAAGAGACTTAGGAAAATGCCTTTGAACAGTAATTTTTTTCCAAAGTAGATTCAGAAATGTCATTTAAGTAGAATATGTAGATAAATAAGGAGCTCTGTCCTTGGGTTAAGTGGGTTTAGTGTGAGAGAAGTGGAAGAAGCCTCCTGTGAAGTGCATACATTATTAACTGGCTTTTTAAAGAGTTTGTGTCAATAATCTTAACCATCTTTAAACTTAAGATTTAAGTGGTATCTAAGTAGATAATTTCATGTAGACTTTTCAATCCCCATTTGATTGAAGTTTTACACCTTTACATACAGCTTTCTGCAACACAAATGCTGAACAATTACAACAATAACAAAACTGGTAAAATTCCCAAATTCTCTTGGTGTGTTTCATAACTAAGGAAACCATAGTCCTGATACTGTGTCTAGTTTTTCAGGGTTTTTTGTTGTTCTGTTTTTTTAATGCAGGAGTTTTAAGATTACAAAAATATTTCAAATGTAGCCGCGAAATCTAGCAGACTGAGTGTAGTAAGAATTGTATTGCTTGTGCTTTGCAATGGAGGGCATAATATAGGCAGATTCACTTATTTATTTCCATCTATGTAATTTTTTTTTTTTTTTTTTTGGGTAGAGACAGGGTCTTGCCATGTTGCCCAGGCTGGTCTTGAACTCCTAGGCTAAAGTGATCTTCCTGCCTTGGCCCCCCAGTGTTGGGATTACAGGTGTCAGTCGCAGCTCTTGGCCTAAACAGGTTCCTCTTTTTTTTGGAGTTGAAGTCTTGCTCTGTCACCTGGGCTGGAATGTGATAACGCAATCTCGGCTCACTGCAACCTCCGCCCTCCAGGTTCAAGCAATTCTCCTACCTCAGCCTTCCGAGTAGCTAGGATTACAGGCAGCCATCACCATGCTCAGCTAATTTTTTGTATTTTTAGTAGAGATGGGGTTTCACTACATTGGCCAGCCTGGTCTCAAACTCCTGACCTTGTGATCTGCCCGCCTTGGCCTCCCAAAGTGCTGGGATTATAGGCGTGAGCCACCACACCTGGCCTGACAGCTTCTTGATAGAATATTCTTTCTCAGAAGTCACAGCACTTGTGTTGTGGTTTCCCTTTAAATAGCCGTAGGAATACAGTTCTACTCTGGAAACCTTTAGGTTTGCTGTTTTTCCTAGGGATTCAGTGCTGCTTACCTCCTGCTCCCTGTTCTCTCAGCTGCAGCTCAGATTGTGTTTCTGGTGCCTTAAGTGTTTTTTTTTTTTTTCCTGATCAGCTGAAGCTCACGTTTATTTGCTTTTATAGAAGGGTGATTTGCTTTCTCCTAGTCTTGTTAAAAGAAAGTTGAAGTGAGGCATACTGGCTCACACTCTAATCCCAGCACTTTGGGATGCTAAGGCGGGTGGATCACCTGAGGTCAGGAGTTTGAGACCAGCCTGGCCAACATGGTGAAACCCTGTCTCTACTAAAAAAAATACAAAAATTAGCCAGGCATGGTGGCAGGTTCCTGTAATCCCAGCTACTCAGGAGGCTGAGGCAGGGAGAATCATTTGAACCCGGGAGGCAGAGGTTGCAGTGAGCCGGGATCGCACCACTGGAGAGCCAACCACAGTAGCACATACCTGTAGTCCCAGCTACTCGGGAGGAAAGCTTGAGGCCAGGAGTTCCAAGCTGCAGTGTGTGATGACTGTGCCTGTGAATACCGACTGCACTCCAGCCCGGGCAACATTACAAGACCCTGTCTCTTTAAAAAAAAAAAAAAAAAAAAAAAAAAAAAGGTGGTTGGTGGGGGTAGGCCAGGTGTGGTGGCTCACACCTGTAATTCCAGCACTTTGGGAGGCTGAGGCTAGCAGATTGCTTGAGGCTAGGAGTTTGAGACCAGGTTGGCCAACATGGCAAAACCCCAATTCTAAAATTACCAAAAAAAAAAAAAATTAGCTGGGCATGGTTGTGCAGGCCTGTAATCTCAGCTACTTGGGAGGCTGAGGCATGAAAATCGTTTGAACGTGGGAGGCGGAGGTTGCAGTGAGCTGAGATTGCGCCATTGTACGCTGCAGCCTGGGCAACAGCAGCCTGGGCAACAGACTGAGATTTTGTCTCCAAAAAAAAGAAAAAAAAAAAGGGAAAGCTGAAGAAGAGGGTTGTTCTGAGTTTCTTCTTTTGTTCGAGGGCATCCAGATGCACAAGACTATGTTTAATATTCAGAAAGAAGAAACATTAAGGTTTCATTGCCATTCCATTGCTAGAATTTAGGGTATGTGTTTGCAGTTGCTGCAGTATGTCAGAAGTTAGTTTCAGACTCTAGCAATTAAGAGACTGTAGTCGTCACAGGCTGTAGTGACATTGCTTGTGTCTGTATACCTCTGTGTGTTTCAGTTCAATGCTCATTGCTTCCAAAAATTCAGATTCATGTATTTTTAACTTCTACACAGGCAAGTAGTGATGTTATATTGAGTGAATTTGAGATTCATCTGTTAGTTGCTATATAAATCAGAGATGTATCATACAATTTATTATAAAAAGTGGTTCATAATCCAAAATGCAACTGATGATGTAAATAAAAATCATTGCTTTAGACTAAGTGTCCAGATTGAATGCCACCATCATAGCAGAACCCACTGAAGATGCCTCATTGGTTTTTTCTGTGCTGTGATTTGTTGATGGATTTCACTTGATCCAGCAGGTAAACAAACTCTGTGTATGCCTTGTAGGAAAGAAGTAGTGGAGGCACACAAAACCAATAAGCCATGTGGGAAGTGCTGCTTTTACCTTCTGATTAGTAAGACATTTGTGGAAGCAGGAAAAAACAATTCCAGAAAGAAATGGAGCAACCAAAAGAAAGATGAGTTAATGTTTGCAAATGCAGAGGAAGAATTTTTCTATGAGGTAAGACTATCCTGTTTGTTTAGATGGAAATAAGGATTTTCTTGAAAATGATTTATCAAGATTTCTCATTCTCCCACCTTATGTCCAAGTCTTTCAAGTTTGGCCACTATGTTTTTTGTGTTTCCCCACGAGCTAGCAGCTAACATAGTGCAAGACACATAGTAGGTACTCAAGAGGCTAGGCACCAGCCTCCCCACCTGCACGGTGGCTATGAGTGTGAGGAGGAGGAGAAAAGTTACTAACCTGCTAAGAATGTTTAGGCATTTATAATATGCTCCCTGTGAAATGTTTCATGCTAAAACCAGGCGGAGAGGTAGACATTAGTCTGGGGTTTACAGATGTGGACTTTATGTCATAGGGAGATGAGGGAAATGTGGAAGCTGGGGCACCCCTGCTACTCTTTGCTCTTAGTCGTGGATGTCATCCCGCTGGTGGGATTTCTCCAGCATTTTTTTCCAATAAAGATAGCTTATATGTGATGGATAGCCATATACCAGAGAATATTCTTTCTCACGCTGTCTGCCTCTCAAAAATCTTGAAGTGGGCCAGGTGCCGTGGCTCATGCCTGTAATCCCAGCACTTTAGGAAGCTGAGGCGGGTGAGTTGGCCCTGAGGCTAGGAGTTTGAGATCAGACCGGCCAACATGGAGAAACCCTGTCTCTACTAAAAATACAAAAAAAAAATTTAGCTGGGCATGGTGGCAAATACCTGTAATCCCAGCTACTTGGGAGGCTGAGGCAGGAGAATTGCTTGAACCTGGGAAATGGAAGCTGCAGTGAGTTGAGATCAAGCCACTGCACTCCAGCCTAGGCAGAAAGAGCAAAACTCCGTCTCAAAAAAAAAAATCTTGAAGTGTATCTCTGAGGGGAACATACTTTCCTGAATTGGGTGATACCACTTTTAAGATGTCTCCGGAAGACTAAAGTACTGCATATTCAGCTGTGCCCTTTTTTCCAGGAGGTAAATGGTAAACACAATTTTTACAAAACATAAGCTTCAGTACCTCAGGTAGACCATCTAGGGGGAGTATGTATTGGTGTTTTAAGATGATGAGGTATGCAGATTTTTACTTTGTTTTCACACAAAAGCCTGATGCTAAGCCGCTGAGAAAGTGAGAAAAGACAGTGTTTGAAGACCGGTTCTTGTTAATTATCAAATGTTATGAGTCTTAATTTCACTTATCACAAGATATTGGACAATTAAATGAAAATATCACTTAGCTGCTTGTTCACCTCTTAGAAATTGCACACCTGTATCCCTGTTCCTCACGTGGGTTAAAAATCTACTTGGTTTGTGTTTTGTAACTTCTTCGTGAATGTCCCATTTGAACTTGTTTTATTCTGAGTTTTGCTTCCTTTTAGTTCTCATTCTTAAATTTAACTGTATGCCAAACATAATATTCTTTGTCGTAGATTAAATGGGTTTTGTCTTTGGGTTGTCCAGATTTTTAATTCATGGTTACTTACTTGGTTTAGAAGGCAATTCTGAAGTTCAGCTACTCAGTGCAGGAGGAGAGCGACACCTGTCTGGGTGGCAGATGGTCTTTTGATGACGTACCAATGAAGCCTTTGCGAACTGTGATGTTAATTCCAGGCAACAAGATGAACGAAATAATGGATAAACTGAAAGAATATCTATCTGTGTAACCCATTTCCAATGGACAGTGATGGGCTTGCTTTTGTAAAATTACCAGAAAACTCAGTGGAGAATTACTGAAAAACTCATAACTTTATTCGGCGTAAGGTCCTCTACAAAAAGTAGGGTTCTGTCCCGTGTGTCTGTGACACATTTACAGAATATCAGTTTTTAAAAATTTTGGTCAAATTATGAATGGTTGATTTAAAAACTTTTCCAGGAAGAAGAAAAACATGTAATTTAAAGAACTCAATAAAAACTTCTGTTTTTTATTTTAAAATAATATACAGTGTTTTTTCAAGACTATCCTGTGGGTAGGAAATCCGTCTTCACGTAACACATCTGCACATACATCACTCCGGAGTTCAGCCATCCAGCTAACTTTGGGACGCGGCCGCACCTTGTGTTGCTTGGTGGGGAGTCACTGGAGAGCGCACCTCTGTTCAGCAGTTTCAGGGCACTTCTCACACATTTTCTGTTCCTTATTCATTGTTGGAATAGGGGATAGGGCATCCATTACTTGCTGTAGAATATCCTTACTTTCACTAGGAGGCAGATTACTGAAATAGTATTGTGGTACCAGTTGCATAAATCTGTTTAAAACAGAAAGATTAGATTTTGAGTGGGGAAGGTGGTGAGAGACCCCAAACACTATGTCTGGGCACCTCCCATCCCCTGCAGAATCTACCAATAGAACCGGTATTTAATTTGAACTCCTCAGTATCTCAGCCTGACTTTGTAAAACAAATACTTTCTGGTTTTCCTGTAGCCAATCCTCTTGCATTTCTAGAATAAGTTGGCTTTTCTAGTGGATGCCATACAGTGGAAGTGCTGTCTACCACTAACCTTTGGTGGAAACTAATAATTCCCCTAAGGCCCATCACGATGTGAGAGGCACTGATCTTATGCTTGGGAGAGCTTTGAGTAGGGAATAGAGGGGGTATCTTTGCTTCTTTGTCGTCTTAGTGCCACTCCACATCCAGCTGTGTAAGTCAGACACCTGTGAGTCACTCTCGGTTGCTGCCTTGAACACTACTTGTTGGAGTGGTACCTTCAAAATGGATCCAGACTCTGCTGTGGCCTCTGAAAGACTAGTGGAGTAGTCTCCCTCTTGCCATTGCCCCTCCTTTCCATTCATGTAGAAACTAGTTATTTTTTTATTTTTAGACACGGTCTTGTTCTGTCTCCCAGACTGGTGTGCAGTGGTGTAACCATAGCTAGCTCACTGCAACCTTGACCTCCTGGGCTCAGACGATCCTTCACTGCAGTCTCCCAAGTAGCCTGGACTACAGGCATGTGCCACCACACCAGCTATTTTTTTTTTTATTTTGTAGAGACAGAGTCTTGCTATGTTGCCAGGGCTGGTGTTGAACTCTTGAGCTCAAGCCATCCTCCCGCCTTGGCCTCCCAAAGTGTTGGAATTACAGGTGTGAGCCACTGTGCCTGGCCAGCTACAGTGATCCTTAAAACTGCAGAGAATATGCTACTCTTGCTTAAAATGCTCCAGTTCCTGTGTACTGCACTTGGATAAAATCTAAACTATGTGGCCCACAAAGCCTTACACCTCTGGTGCCTGTCTCTTCAACCTCTCCTCCTTCCTCCTCCCTGACAGCTCCAACTGCAGTGGCTCTTGAAAGATGGCTAAGCTCATTTCTCAAGGTCAGTGCACCTGCAAACCTGCACAGTTTCTCCAGCATTCAGTTCTTCAAGACACACAGTCTTTGTGTTTATTTTGACACTGTCTTTTCTATGCTGTCCTCTCACAGGCAGGGACATTTCCTAGGTATCATCCACAGAGGCCTGCCCTTAGTAGGTACTCTCAACATAAATTAAGATTGGCACTAGTATAAACTTTACAACTAAAAATAGAATAAAAGCCAAATTTGTCATTTACTCCTACAGGCATGAATTAAAAAAACAACAACAACCCTTTTTTCTCCATGAAACTTACAGTTCGGGAGAGATTTCTGAGGTAATCCGGATGTAATTGTTCTCAGAAATGCTGAATTTATGGAAGAGGACCCACTCTGGCATCTTCCTGGTGATTGAGTAACCAGACAGGGGATGCAGCTGAGCAACCTGCTTATGTGTCAGCATTAAGTAGTTACCTGATCCATCAACATCCCGAGCAATCTGAAAGGCAGAGTTTTAAAGAAAAAAGATTTTGATTTAATATGGAGATCAATATACAAAAATGTTTGTTGAAAAAAATACCAAAGTATTTCATACAGGATAGTTAAAACTAAAATTTGCCACTCATGTTTCCTATTTTCATATGTAGAAAATAAGCCATAAGCATGTTTTGCCTAAAACTTTGAGACACTGATATTAAGTAACTTCAGCAACAGCAGGGCACTGTGCTAAAATAATGCAGCTCTGAGATTAATGTTTTGGCCATGAGATGAAACTTAGCACATGACCCGCCATACTATGGGTGACACACTCCAATGCCAAGCGCTTTACACTTGGTGTTAAGCACACAATAACCCTGTGATGTAGGAACTTGACAGACGAGGAAATGCATACTGAAACGTCATTTTTCTCCATTAAGACTATATATTCTGCCTTGGACCTTTATTCCCTTGAGGGGAAGGATATTTAAGTACCAAATCTTTACTATAAACATGGATTGGCCGGGCGCGGTGGCTCATGCCTGTAATCCTAGCACTTTGGGAGGCCGAGGCAGGTGGATCACGAGGTCAAGAGATTGAGACCATCCTGGTCAACATGGTGAAACCCCATCTCTACTTAAAATACAAAAAATTAGCTGGGCATGGTGGCGCGTGCCTGTAATCCCAGCTACTCAGGAGGCTGAGGCAGGAGAACTGCCTGAACCTAGGAGGCGGAGGTTGCGGTGAGCCGAGATCGCGCCATTGCGCTCCAGCCTGGGTAACAAGAGCGAAACTCCGTCTCGAAAAAAAAAAAGCATGGATTTTTGGTTTTACTTAAAGTTAGTGTCAAAATCATCATCCTAAGTGAGTGACTGTTGGCAGCAGGTTCTGAGTATGCGCAGTTCAGGAAAGCCTATGTCAAGGCGACCCCGTGCTTTCTCACCTGCATAAAGTAACCGGACAGAAGAGCTTTCTTTATGTTCACAGTGTTTTCCTTGGAGCCAAAAGCAGGTTCTGCATAGGGAAGCTCAATTCGCTTGATAATTTCTAAGAGTTCAGCTCGGATAACATCTGCCATTCTGAGTGCTGAACAGTTGAGGAAGTAATCATGACACCACTTTTCAACACAGTCTAGGAGGAAAAGAACACAAGGCCATTTAGCAATGATTTGTCAGAAGCTCTAAAGAGGCCAGGCCAAGGAGTTACCATCTTTAAGCCCTATGCTCTCCTCTCCTACAAAGGAGGCCACATAGGTGAGTGGCAGGAAGGCAGCAAGGACAAGGATTTCTGGTGCCTGTGAAGTCAGCTGTCAGGGCACTACCAGGAAGGGAGACGGTGCCACTCATAGCACCCATGCCACTTGCGGGGATTCTGTGATCCCAGCCAACTGTGGAAACTCTTCCTAGTGGTGACTGAAGATGTATATAACTAACCTGTAGCTCATAAAGGCCAGACAGGATTTTGTAAGTTCTTTATTTTGTCTCTATGCCTACAGCAAGGATGTATGTGGCCCCATTTAATCAAACTAGGCAGAAAAAAGCCCGCAGTATAAGTTCCTTTGATCTATGAAAATATCTCATATTTTATTTAATGATAAAAGGATTACTACTGGGTTGATTTGGGAATTAATTACGTTACAGTTAAGCTCATCTATCTACCCTAGCTGTAACTTTTATGTTAAAATTCAGGCATCTGGGTGAGTTTGAAGTTAGTTTTTCTTGTCACCTGTAATTATTTAAGATGGATCTGGGAATGCACATGGCCATGGCGCCATGGACAGAAGACCCTCGTTTACCTCGTCCTGTCCACTCAGGCTGCTCGGAGCAACCAGAGCATGTACTTAGTCACAGAGTGTCGCCCATTCAGCATGCCCTCAAAAGATGCCATCAAATTCCCGTGTACTTTCCGGCTCCACTGACAACTTTTTCTTCTCAGCTCTGACTCACTAACTCCCTGTTCTTTATACAGTTCTACGGTCTTTCAAATTGCTGTCATATTTTTCATACTACCTCACATATTTTCACACCATCTTTCAGAGCAAAGGAGGTAAAAGATGCATCATAGAAAACAAAGGTAAGAAAAATCCTTTGAGGGAAGGACCTCCTTACTGGCTGCCCTTTGAGGGCGGCTCCAGCCTCCGCCACACTGCTTTGCCCTGTTTGCCCTCCTCTTGTGTCTGTTTGCATAGGAGCTTCCAGTTCACTTGTGGGTATGTTTCTGTGACAGGTAATCTATCCACTGTCCTTCAGGCTTACACAGGACTTTGTGGCTGTGCTTTGACACACGCCATTCTGTTCTCTGGATATCCTCTGCTCTCCCTGCCAAGCTTCGTCAGCAGCTCTGCAGCTTCCCCTCAGCTCCCCAGCCTATTCTGCACCAGTATCTGGAGCTCTGCAGCCTCTCTGCATGTGCATGGTGAATGTGCCAGGATACAGAGGGTGCACAGCACAGCTCTGACTCAGTGGGTATGTAGTGGTGGCTGTTCCTTGTCTTCCTCTGACGACCCATCTATGGGTCTGTGTCCCCCGTCACTGTATCCCAAGCAAGCTTGCTCTGAAGGCTGACTGAGTGCAGTGCTGGAGCTCTGGAAGTACAGAGCTCCATGGGAGCAGGAAGGAGCGTCTTCCACTTTGCAGATGTCTATCAGTGTGTTTAGGGCCTCAAGTGCCATTGCATTCAAGTGGCAATGGGGCTAGAGAAGAAGAGTGTTTGATGAATTACTAATAAGGACTCAGACTTCTCTGGGGAAAGGAAGGTGGAATTAGAAGGTAATTTCTGAGCATTCACTTACACTCACTGGTAGAATTCAGAGTTGTGTCCTGGTAGGCCTTGTAAATGTTGATGAGGGTAAAGTGATCTCCTTCAGGGTGTAAAAATGACTTCCAACAAGTCAAGGCAGACTCTTCAGCTCCATGTGGCACATGTGAAAAGCAATTTGGAGCTTTAAAATGCAAAAGGTCACAGTTAGCAATAATGAAGACATTTCATCTTACCGTAACATGGGGTCATAATGTTGGTGGAACCGCTCCTGTCTTGGTTCTCTGAATAAATGTGTTATTCTTGTTTTCTTAGAAATCGTGAAATTTAAAGTGAGTCGTCCTAATTCTTTCTCTTCTTGTGTGTGTGTGTGTTTGCTTTTCTAAGGTCAACTGAATATGGTTAATACCCTGCTTATATTCCATCAGGAGCAGGGAAAACCTGAGGTACTCAGAGGTCCAGGCACAAGAACCAGCTCTGATACAGCACAATGGTTGGTCTGTTCTGCCAGTATTAGAATAAATTAAAACATACGAGCCGGGATGAATGAAGTCAATAGGAAATAAAAAACAAGCACACATCATTGTTTGGGGGAAAACACCTCTAGTGATACATTTTCTTCATCTGCACTGATGCCTTCAGCAAAGAAACCTAGTATGTTTTCATCTATCTGATGTATAAATTTGCTGCACTTTGAGTTAGTTTTCTTATATTAGATAATTTTTCATATTAAAATTTTCCTTTTCTAACCTATTAAGTCCCTCACTATCATTTCAAAAGGTTCAATGACTTGATCACCATCTCTGATATGTGCTCCTTAAAATATTATTTCAAATGGATCCCATTTAAATCTATACCTGGTGCAGATTTGCAAAAAAAGAAAAGAAATATTCATTAAGGAGTACCTGTTACCATGGCAGCGACTGTTAGCACTTCATCTACACAGTCAAATTCACAGGACGCTAAGATAGACTTTGAGAGTTGTGGATCAAGAGGAAACTCTGACATTATGATTCCAAATTCAGAAAGATTTCCATCATTATCTAGTGCTGCCAGATAATCTAAGTCTTCCAATGCCTGCATCAAACTTTCTGGTGCTAGGAAAGGAAAAAATAATAATTTAAGAGTCGCACATCCAAGATGGAAAAGCAGGTACTGGATTTTCCCTCCTGCATGAAACAAGCAAACAGTGGACAAAATGTGTGAAACAACAGTTTGCAAGACACCAAATACCAGGCAGTGAAGGACAGTGATTCCTGAGAGAGCAAACTCAGGAGGGGAGCCCTGTGATTGTCCAGCTCATGCTTCGAGGAGGGTCCTGGCTGCAGTGTGCGTGTTGGGGGGAACCCAGGTGGAGCCTGCCAGCTTCCCTGCAGTAGGAAAACAATGCCAGGGATCCAGGGAGACTGAGGTGGCTGGAACTGACAGGTGACCATACTGGAGAGAGACACACAGAGAAATCAGGGACCAGAGGGAGTTCCCTCAACTAGGCAGCAGAGCACCCACCAATCAGCTCATGTGTGTAAGGAACCACCCGAGGCCAGTACTGTGGTGCTGACACAGTACTTAGGGTAGGGCCTGTTCCTACCAGCCAAGCTGGAAAACCTCAGGGCACTAGGTAGGAAACACAAATGAGAAACCCCAGATGGGCACGGCCACCTAACACATCTATACAGCAGGACCCGAAAGGATCCACTGCATCCCAGGACAAAGCTCAAAAATATTCCTGGGACTAAAATATTCAGTGCCCAACAAGGTAAAATGTACGACGTCTAGCATCCCGTAAAAAAGTATGAGGCATGAAAAGCAGGAAAATACATTGCGTAATACAGAGAAAAATGAATTACAACTGACCTGGAACTCAGATGCTAGAAACAATAGATAAAGATGTTATTTCCCAGTGCAAATAAATAGAGCGAACTGATTTTCTCCGTCTCTTTATTTCTCCTCTAAGTCTATGTAGCATCGATAATGATGTGGTATTTATTATATATGCTCAATTGCTACCAAGTTTTAAAAATCCATTATTTAAAGAAATATATTCTCTGTGGAATAAGGCTATATATAGGTTGGTGCAAAAATAATTGCAGTTTTTGACATTACTTTCAAAGGAAAAATAATTTTTAAAAAAATTTACTTTCAAAGGCCAAAACTGCGATTACTTTTGCACCAACCTAATATTTATTAAATAAACACATGCTTTTTCTACCTGTCTGGTTCCTAGTATAGCAATAAAGGTTACTGCTGTATTGTTAGACCCCCAAACTGCAGTATTTATGAGTCACTAGGTTGCTCTTGTCTCAATTCCAGTATGTGCAAGGTGGGTGCAAGCTGAAGACTCTGGGGACCTAAGAAGCACTTAAACCTCTCTGCTCCTGGGAGTTCAAAGTAACAAACAGTAAAAACGTAGTCATGTACTGTCCAAACTTTGATCCTTAAGCTCTATGTCTAAATTTCAGGCAAACTGAGTAGCTCAAAAACCTACTCATAAACTTCGATTTGATAAAATTCCTCTATTCCTGTCAGAACAACTGGAAGGCATTAGAAGCCACTGCTGTGGTCTGGGAAATGACTCAGGGAAGCTGCAGTGCAGCCCACCACACCTCCAGTCCTGTGGGAGGATAGCAGAGCAAGCACCAGACAGAATTTCAGCCTGACATACCCACTGCAGGCAAAAGATCTGCTGGGAGTGAGGGGGCAGTGCCAAACCACCCAAGGGACATTGGCAGGGAACCAAAGACATCAGCTGGACGACTGCAGCACAGCTTCAGCCTTACCTTGGGGCAAATATGTCCAATTTCCCTATTATTTCTCAATGTTTTCCTATCAAGATTTAAAACTGAGCAAAAGCTTATGGCTGCCCAGAGATACTCCTGTCTTGCCTGGATGCTGGCATACAGTACTGTCTTGTTATTCCTGGGGACCTTTGGCCTAACCATAGTGGCAAAGATGAGACCTTCAGAAGTCACAATCATGGGAAATAAACAGATGGGCTATTCAGAAAAAAAGTTCAAGAGTTCCACCAATGAGGTGTGACATGAAAAGTAACAGCCGATCTGCTGGAGAAGGCACAAGAAGCAGCATCAGAAATAAGCATCAGAGCAGGAAGGGGCTGGAGTACAAACTTAATTACTGAAAGCTTTTTAGAAACCAGTTTCTATAAATCAGCAAAGCTGCAGCATTGTAAGTTACAGGGCCTTTGGCAATTGTCCCTTTAAGCATCTGGCTTGACAGCCAGGCGTCGTCCCCAAAGGGCACCTACTATTCATTTTTATGGCCTGGAGTTGAGTTGACTGCACATAGAATCAGTAACAGAAATGACTTCATGATTCTGCTCCTGGTCCTCACAACAGCAAAAAAGAGGATGTTCTTGGAGTTCTTTATATTAGAAAGAATGAGCTAATGAATGCAGGTTAATAAATAACTAAATAGGTTGCTATTATATTCTGCATTTGAAGACATCTCCCCAGTGTGGCCAATAAAATTGTCATAGTTAAAAAGCAGAAGAGTTTAGATGGGGGTTCTTTAGGGCAGTGCTGTTTAAGCACTGTTTATCCACGGTAAGTAATGCTGACAAATGGAATAGAAATGTTTCAGCGTCAGGCCTCTTCATTCCGGCAGTGCAAAATCAGACTGCTTTATTCTGAAGGCAATTTCGAGATGAACCAAACATCATTTTTATTAAGCTCGCTTGCCAATGGCAGCTGTACTCCCTGTAGAATAGCTCACTGCAAGGTCACACTCCTCCCCCACTACCATCACTCAAAGTAATGCGGAGGGCTATAATCACAGTACTTCTTTGCTGCTCTGAGTGTCTGTTTTCCACAGAACCCCAAATGCTAAGCTCCAATATATGCCTGCATTTTCCTTCCTTGGCATCAGCAGAAAGCCTGGCTACAAACAAAGGGGTCATTAAACAGCAACCAGCAGAGGAGAAGCCGATGGGCTAACTCCAAGCCCAGCACAGGCCAAGTGGAGTCCAAGGCCACGGCGTTTCCAGAGCTGACAGCCCATGCAGCATGTTTCCTGTGTTCTTACAATGTATGCCAACTTTGTAGGTGTCAAAAGGTAGGAAGCCTCAGTTGGCTTCCACCCTCCCCCTGCCCCTCACAGGAAGTCCTGTCTACGCAGGTGCTTGGCAGGCTTCCTGCAGCCAGGTCTCCTTTGTTATAACAATCTCTGGCCTGCTTTCTGCCTAACCAGGCAAAAACGGCTCAGAAACACTGAATTTCCTATCAAGGTGGCTGGCATTATGCAAGCATATGCCGACATATTTATTGTACTTTCCCTCAGGTAAAAGTTTGAGTCTGCAGTTATTTCTGGGAATATGCTTAGCAGAGCATCATGCCTTCTCTTGTCTAAAGTGGACAGGTATTTCCACGAGAACAGGGCAGGGGGTTGGTCTCCTGGTAAGCAGTCCCCAAAGCCAAGGCTGGTTCCTCTCCTTCCACCATACTCCTTAACCCCCTTTCTTTCCAATAAGGGCAGGTAAGTAACGATTGATTTGAGTCACTAGAGTTGGAAAGGACATTAGAGATAGAGCAGCCTCCTTGGTAAACTGAAGAGAAGTATTTTCAACTCCCTGCCTACTGGTGGGAGCCAAGATCCTTTTGTGTTCAGCCTTGCCCTGGGCAGGGGTCTTGGGTTATGGCAGTGTCCCCAGTGCCCTCCCAGTGCCGTCTGCACCGTGAGGCAGACGGAGGCCAGCTCCCGTGAGCTTAGCTGTGCCTGAAGACCTCTCACACGCCAGCTCTGCTCCTGCCTGTGACATGGAAGGAAACATGCAGACCTCTGACAGCCGCGACCCCTCCCAAACCTCTCTACTCTCCCTGCACGTCACATCACTCCCTCTGCCCAGGCCTGAGGAAGGACTAAGTGGGGAAGAAGGAAGCCGAGTTTGTCTCCCATGCATGACTGCCTTTGCTCATGTTCTTGGGAAGACTCTGGGCCTTCTAGAGGGTAGTCAGTGTTCCTCAAGTGTAAGGGCATTGGGAAAGTTCTGCCACTTCCCAAATTACCAATGGTCCCCACACCCAGTAGCTGTTCTTACAGCCAGGAAGCTGGCCCCAGGTTTGTGTAGTGGTGACTAGCTGAAGGCTCTCCCCACCCTCATACCATTCTAGAGAACCATCTTTAAACAAGAGTTGGCATTGTAGTAAGATGGTATGGAACAGGCAATCCCAGAACAACCTAGAAAAATCAGGAAAAAAGTACGGGTTTTTAAATGACCATACAATGACTATTTTTATATGAGTAGTTAAAGGACTTGATGTTTGGTGTGGGTTCGTGATTTCCTTGTAAGGGTGAGGCTCAGGTTATTATCTGCTCTCAGATCATTTTGACCGTCTTGTGCTATTGGCACTTGCAAGGCTCTGGAGCAGGCACACATCTGGGACAGCCTCACTCTTGGCCCTTCTGGTGTGGATGGTCTCATTTACATGTGGAGATGCACATGTAAATAAAGAATCACGCTCTACTGGAAATGTACTTTTACCTCCAAATCGTCCCCCTTTCTAGGAACTGCACCTTCACTTCCACATTTACAGGTGCAGGATTTTGTGCCATGTGACACCACATTATCACCACTAATCCCAGTCACAGTGGGCTGGTTCAGGGTGGACAGCTTCTCAGATTGAATCAATGGCTCCCTTTCTTGGGAGTTTTTGACTTTAGACCAAGGGAATTTCCAGGAGCTGACATAGTAAATCATAAAGCTTAGAGCAGAGAGCAGCTAAGACTCAGCCCTGTGGATGAAAGCGAGGGAGGAAAGGGAACCTACAGATATAGAGATGAGAAATGAAGAAGCTTGTTTTTGATTTTATAAGACACCCCACTTTCTTTATCATAATTCACTTTTTGCTTATGCTAGTTTGAGCTGGATTACTAGTGCTTGCATTCAGAAGAACTGTTAACTAATATATCCACTACAACATAATACATTCTGTAACAGAGTGCACCCAAAGCGCCACTAGAACTTCCAAATGGTAAGGACAAAGCCTAGGGAAGAAAATAGCTACCCTCACATAGTAGCTACTGTGTGTGCCAGGTACATGCATTAATGCAGAGGTCCCCTACCTTTTTGGCACCAGGGACCGGTTTCATGGAAGACAATTTTTCCACAAACCAAAGGATGGGGAGAATGTTTTTGGGATAATTCAAGCTCATTACATTTTTTTGTACACTTTATTTCTATTATTATTACGTTATAATACACAATGAAATAATTATACAACTTGCCATAATGTAGAATCAGTGGGAGCCCTGAGCTTGTTTTCCTGCAACTAGACGGTCCCATCTGGGGGTGATGGGACACAGTAAGAGATCATCAGGTATTAGATTCTCATAAGGAGTGCGCCACCCAGATCCCTCGAATGTGCAGTTCACAATAGGGTTCAAGCTCCTATGAGAAACCTGTGCTGTCACTGATCTGACAGGAGGGTGGAGCTTAGGTGGGAATTCGAGTGATGGGGAGCAGCTGTAAACACAGATGAAGCTTTGCTCGCTTGTCAACATTCACCTCCTGCTGTCTGGCCCAGTTCCTAACGGGCCATGAACTAATATGTGTCATGGCCTGAGGGTTGGGGACTCCTGCATTAATACATATACCCATTTACATAAATGGACAGACAGAAATGCAGTTATCACCTGGGAGGGCTCAAGGAGCAAATGAAGTTTCTGTTTCTGATTTATTTTAGGGTTGGGACTTGGGCATTGTGTAAAAGAGTCCACAAGGGAAGAAACTAAAGAATGAAGAGATGGTGTAGACTCTACGGGTCTACAAGGTCTTGGGGCTCTGGGGAATAGCATTAAGAGTTTGGTTCTAAAAGGAGGGGGAGGAAAGGCTTCTGTTTCACTTAATTTCATAGGGATGTGTTCACAAAACCTGGCATTTGCCTAATGCCTACTCCTTT